TAGCTCTGATGCTGCAGTGGTACGACACTGATAAGGGGAGCAATGCCCTGATCACGAATTGCCTCGGAGAGTCAGTCAAGACTAAGAACCATCTTTGCTTGCCGTGAGACGTACGTCATATTCTATGAACTTGATCCTCGTGCTTCTGTTTCAACAGTTCTATCCTTGAGAGGCCGGTGACATTGGACTGTGTAGCAACATAGTGCAGTTGGTCACATCATTATGATCAGGATTTACCAGAGCAAGTTGAGGTCTACCGAGTCGTTCGAGACGAGAACAAAGATCAGCGTGACCATGTTTTAGAACAATAATTATTTACTGATCCTTGGAATATGTGATACATTCATATTGACAGAGGTTCTTTGTCCTAATGTTTGTTAAATGTATCCTTGGCAGATGGATATTGAACATGTACTATTTACTCAGTTACTCATTGGATTTTGGTACTTTCGAAACCACAATGCTTTCATGAAATGCTTCAAAGCTACAAAACATTGTGTGTGAACCTCGGAAACACTGGCTGAATATCGAAGGGTGTGCAGACTTTGTTGTCTTCTTTTAGATTCATTATACTACATGGTTTCTCTATCTGAGCTCTTGTGATCATTCCAGTGGCGATCGTAGATGCCATTATCATTTTGAAGTGAATTTCATCCAGCTTTTGAAAGCCTTTCACTTTCGTAATGAGTTCGATTGTACTTTTGCATGTTCTTGTGCTTGCTCTTGTATTCGTCTTTTGTTTTGGAAAGAGCTGTATCGACGACTCCAATCGTGATGCTACTTGACGGTGAAGTCCTTTTGTTATTATACGCCTTTGAAAGATACAATCCATGAAAACAATACGTAATCCTGTGATATGAAAGTTTGGAGGAGAGTGGAGGCAGCCATAAGTGTTTCCCAAAACGGATATCTGTCAGTGGCCAATTTGCATACCCAGCTCTGTTGTGGATTGTCGTGATTGTAGCCATGGATTCCCCGCACCAGGATACTCTGTTATTTTGGCAACCATTTGAAGGTATCACTATTAATTTAACTTCTTACTTTTTTTTTCTTTTCTTTTAAGCTTCGAGTTTGAAAAATACATGCAATGTTGCCAAATTTTATGGGAGAGAATACGAAGTTTCTTTAGATTGCAATTCATCTGTTACATTATTACAGCAGTATACAGGACAAGTGTAATGTAAATTAAGAGGATATCATGGCATTACCAAGATTTGGCCACTAATAAATATACACTTAGCAAAACCAAGTTACACATATTGGACAGTTTTCAGTCGTGATATTGCGCATGACGTGACATGATGCAATGTCTAGTTTTCACCTGCTGCGATCATGGTGCCTTTGGCCTAGACCAACTTCGGCTTTTCCTTGAGTTCTTGATAACATTGCAATTGTAAGACTTAAGTTATTGGTTTAGTGTGTCAACTCACATTTCAGAAGTCAAATTCATTCTTTTTTTGCATGATTTTAAAGATAAAGTCCAGTTATGGTCATGCGATTGCATTGTGAAAGAAACGTTGTGGAATCGCTCAGAAAAGGTTGATCATCTAGCATATAAGTATTGGTGTGTACTGCAAGGTTCTGGAATCATCAAAATGATAAGAAATTTGGCCCAGTCTTCGTAAAGTTACAAGCACTGTACACAGAAAGATGTATATGGGACTACACACTCTTGCGCGACACATGCATTTATCTCTCACATACCAATAGATTAGCTAATTTACCAAATATATCAATTAGTAGGCGGTTTCCCGGCAAAATTTGTATCATCATGTATTAGTCAAAACATTCTTTCATATGATTGGTAATAAGGGCTTACATTTCATTTTTTGAAATTGGGGTGTTTCCAATAATGGTCTTTACCTTTAAAGTCAAAACATGTTCATTTGTAGACCATAAAAGATTATGCATGGCCTTGCGACCCCGTATCATCATGTATTAGTCAAAACATTCTTTCATATGATTGGTAATAAGGGCTTACATTTCATTTTTTGAAATTGGGGTGTTTCCAATAATGGTCTTTACCTTTAAAGTCAAAACATGTTCATTTGTAGACCATAAAAGATTATGCATGGCCTTGCGACCCCGTCTCAAGACCAACTGTTATCTTTCAGTGCCTTGATGATATATATGAACATTGTTTTTTGGTTTATGTTCATCCTTATAAATCCTTTTAAAGCCTATCAACATTAGTTTGGCCAAGAGAGATTATACCTCTGTGCATGGTCACTGACAGGTAGTTATCTTATCAAATCAGCTCTCAGAAATAGGGGATCATGGGGGACCAACGGTACCGCTTAGGCATAGTTTGCTATATAGAGGGCGCAAGTGGCTACAAGTAGTGCAGTCCCGCTTTAACTCTTGTCCTGCCACAGGGCTAATCCCCATAGTGCCAAGCTCCAAATCCCCCAGTGCCAGGTTGTTTTGGAGATCATCTGATTAACGCGATGGTTCTATGAATAGCGCGTGCAAAACACTAGGCACAGTCCAATGGGCACGAACAATAACTGCTATTACATTTGCGTGCAATTATGCAAGAAGCAGAGGAGCAATAGCTTGCTAGCGTGTACATGGCAACTTAACAATAGCGTGCATGCAGCCTTATGGCAGGCTATGAGTTAATAGAGACAGACCAGTGGCATTGGAGTATGTTGTTTACCATTTCATATCGCCTTACAGTATGTGCCGCCTTCTATGTTTTACATAAAGTTGGCAGTGAACATGTGAACAATAAAAAAAGACCTTAACCCGTTGAATAAAAAATTCAAATTGTATCTAATGAGTCGATGTAATTATGCGCAAGGGCGTTGATGTTTGCAGTGTCCGGAGACTTCTAACATCTAGACAGGACTATTTGTTCTGCGGATTGTGTACTTTATTCTTGACAGACGGTTATCTAATGCTCAATGCCACCGACACCAAAGCCTATGTTCTCTTCACTATCATAGAGGCCACTCGATCTGACACTCAAAAGTTAAATAAATGCTGAACACAGCAAGAAATACAAGAATTAGTGTGAGGAGCCCCTGCCTAAGACTGGAGAGCCCCACTACTGATGTGATGCTGTATTTTGTTTCAAAGTGAAGTTTAAGGTTTCTTGCCAAAGGATACTTTCTTGGAAGACTGTTAACATCTCTCATCAATTGCCTTCTAATTGCTTTGTTGTATTAGTGGGGCGTTTCTCATCTTCAAGATGTGTTCGTTTGTCCTCTACATGTATGCTTTCTTACTTGGGCTTCTCCTTGCTTTAGTAAAATGGAAAGCTCCCGTTTGGGTGCACCTTGACAATCACAGACTTGAAATCAAAGTTCTTATTTCCATTCCTCGCATGACTTATAATAAAAAGCCCATACGCTTGGAGGAGTCCGTTCTCAAGAACCTGAGGCATTGCTGATTTGCACAGTGTGGGCGTGTTCATCGTTTTGGCCATAGGCTGGTGCATTGTAGCCGTACGTATAAGCTAGGCGTGGGTTCTGTGTGCCAGAAACATTTTTGTTTTGCCAACCCTTTGAAGGTACATGTACGCCTGTTTATAAAGTTGTTATGCGTCTGCTTACTGTAGTATTAAAATACTAATTTCTGTATTTGACATTTTCGCTCTTGCCAAGTTATGGAGATTAGAGAAAAATGAATTTGTTGAAATATTTACAAGACATAGGGAAATTATGTCTGGATATGATACATTGTATCATACAATTTATTTAAAAATTAGATATTTAGCAGACTATTTGCTTAAATGTTCATAGCGTACTGTAGCTTGTGCTCAGAGATTTCTTTCCTTTTGGAGCTGCGAAACTTGACTCAGTCATTTACGTTTTAGCCGTATCATTATTTATTCCATTTCCCTTCTCTTCCAAAATAAGAGTTTATATCAGCACCAAATGCACACCAGGGTCCTGTCTTACAAAGACTTACGATTGATCCAAATCAATCGCAACTTTGCAGTCTCCTATCTCTTATGTCATAGTTGCGATTGATATCAATCGCAAATAAGTTGCAATTGATATCAACTCTTTGTAAGACAGGGCCCGGGACCCTGCTTCATCAAACTTTGTGATAACAAGTGCTAAACTTCTTTTTACAAGTTACTGTATCTTGTTTTCTTGTTATTGATTAAAAAAAGTCCATGAAAGGGGGGCCCTGCTATAACAACAACCTAGTTTCAATGTGGACCACCGACGACGTGTGAATTGGAATTTGTTTACTGTCAGAAAAAATACGAAGCTTTAGATCCAAAGTGTCATTTTCACCCCTGTCCATCAGAAAGTCATCACCTCCTTTGCAGTTGATTTAGCATAGCCTTGACGATCTATCATTTACGCATGAAAACTGAATCTATAATCATTCATCCTGTACTGTAGCTGCATTTTATGCATTCGAACAGTGAATTCATATTTCATGCACCATTTAACATGCAGTTGCTCTTTGTGGTTTTATAGGAAAAGCTGATTGCAGTTGTTGTGATTTAGAGCCCCTTTCCAACCACGGATGTGAGGTTAATGTCAATGGGGATGTTTCAAGGATTGATATTTTGGTTGTACATGTACTTGCATGTGCATCATTAAAAGTGAAAGTAGAGGTTTCTTACAATTAATTTTTTATCTGATATAATGTTTAAGCAGATTGTAAATGTATACTGATTAATTGGTTAAATACTTAAATTTGTTTACTTTTTGTGACTTTTTTTGTACAGCCATGATATCTCTCTCCCTCTGCCCAATTTGGGTGGAATCAGATATTGACCAAAATCACAATATATACTACCCATATTTTTATGTATCCTATTTTACATTACCTGATTAATATTATGTTTTTGTATTTAAAAATGTCTTCTTCTTATCAATTTGTATTTCAGCATCACTTAAAATGCCCTTTACTTTTATTATTATTTTTAGAAATTAAGAATGACAATGACAATGAAAAAATTAAGTGATGAACTACTTGATCTTTAACAATATAGATAAATTTATTCTTAATGTTTGTTTTATTTATATCCAAAGCATCTTACAAACGACCGAGACCAAAAGGTAACATGTGAAACAACTTATCTTGTGTGTGTCTCATTGTAGATTGTACATGTATCTGTGCGACAATGAACACTGTCTTCAAAAAGTAATCGTTCTGCATTCTATCCATACAAGCCTCTTTTATACATGAAGCAATGAAATGTTACAAAGACCTGCTGCGGCAAAAATTGAAATTTTGCAATTTGGCAACGATTATTCTACAATTTTGCAACAATTATTCTACAATTTTGCAACAATTATTCTACAATTTTGCAACAATTATTCTACAATTTATGGTTTGGCTCATAAACTTTTTATTCTAAGCCCCAAAAAATATTTCAGAGATTTTGCAGAGGGGGCAAAAACTTCATCTATCACTGCATCTACTTTTGTTCCGTGACTATATTGCATTTGATGCTAAGAATTAAAAAAAACAAAAAAACAAAAAATCCTGAAATTGGCAATGAGTTAAGAAATTAAAAATCAATGTTTTTCCATCCAAACTATCATTTTAAAACTTTTCAACAACATTCTCTCCCATGTATATTGTTTTTGAGATATAGCATTATATTCTAGCATTATAGCGATAAAAGAAAAATATTATTGTTGCCAATTTGAAAATCAGTGCGTGATCAATTTAGCCCTAATAATAAATCCTGTCCTGAATGAGTTATTGTAAATGGTCAGTGGAGGTGAAAAAAGCATTTACCTGCAACAAAGGCCCATTTAATAGCATACATCTACTCGCTGTACAGGTGTGTATGTTATATTAATTAAAGATGTAGAAATTTCAATCTCATGAAGCAACATGCTGCATGTATTTATTTCACTGCAGTACATACATGTACATGTATATATTTTTTTATAATGGTCTTCTTGCATCATGTGTGAGAGAGTCTCTATTGCAATAAGTTTGATACATACCGGTACATGTACCAGTATCTTGTATTGTGTAAATGTTTATGACTGTTTCCATGGACATGAATCATTCCTACAAGTATGTAGATATAGTCATGGATGGATAGCGTTGTGGTGGAAGTCTGTGAATACTGTACACTTTTAGCAGTCTAGACAAAAATTCGTCATTGTCCAGAATTCGTTTTTTTCTTGCACTGCATGTTTGTCCATCAGTCACACAATGTATGCAATTTATCAGTCATATTATCTGCTCCTCTTTTCAACCTTTTAGAAAGTTATTAAGATTTTTGTATTTAGTTTCATTATTTCTGTTTTAATCATTGCTCATTCAGTGCTTGCCTCACATTGCAACAAAATTACATACTATAGTTAAAACTTAAAAACATGAAACCTAAACAAAAAACAACATTAGATTAGATGACTTGAATATTTTAGCATTAGATCATCCACAAAAAATCTTAAAAATAAACAAGAAAGGAAGTTTCACTTTTCACAATATTCTTTCTCTGATATCTTAATTCCTTATCACTTTTGCAAAAAGAGTGATACTAAGAAGAGATAAATGAATAATTGGATAATTTGAATCAACCTTTTCCTTCTTATGAATATGATTAAAATACCCTTAATCATTCCTCATTTAAAGTAACATTTCAGTATGACCCAATGATTGCTAGGACCACCCATCTATCTACCGGGTACTTACAAAAACAAAAACAGAACAAAATATTTTAAGTTGATTCTTTAATTGCCTCCCTCCTTTCAGTTCAGTTCAGTTCAGTTCAGTTCAAAATCATTACCATCAAATCTCAAGCACTTCACCCCCTGGAAAAAAAAACCTAAATAGTTTTACTTAAAGCCCCACTGTACTACTTATAGCTACTTGTGCCCTCCATGTAGCAAACAATGCCTAATTAGTGCTTGTTGGTCCCCCATGATCCCCTTTTTCTTATGTAAATTGAGAGCTGATTTGATAAGATAACCACCTGTCGGTGACCTTGCAGTGAGGTCTACTCCCCCCTGGCCAAACTAGTGCAAACGTGCTTTAAATGGTCCCTCATTTACTTATCCAGACGACCCTGCCATGCGCTGATATCTTAATTACTCAGGAGTCTCATGGGAGTCTAGACTTTGAAGGTAAAAAAAAGAGATCAGAGTTCTTTAATTTTGTCACATTCTTATCATATGTTTCCCCTGCCGCAGACCATTGCATTAATCAGTGATGATGCTTGCTCTGCTCCCAGGGGACAATCATTATATTATCAGGGGGGTGTTTCACAAAGATCCGAAGATGAACTTATCTCCAAGTTAGACTTGATGGGAAGCCGTTAGCATCTTTGAAAATATTTTGTAAAAATTATTTTAAAAGGCATAAAATGTTGATTCAAATCATTCATGTTTTCTACTACCATGGGAGATTTCATATTCTTGATGTGGAATTCATGAAAAGTCTTAAATACTTGAATGTTTTTCTTTTGAATACATTTTATTTTAAAGCTCCACTGTCCTACTTGTAGCTACTTGCTCCCTCTATATAGAAAACTTCCCTAATCGGTGCCTGTTGGTCCCCCATGATCCTCTTTTTCTTATGTTAGTTGAGAGCTGAGTTAATGAGATAGCCACCTGTCAGTGACCTCGCTGTGTGGTCTAATCCCTTCTGGCCCAGTAGTGTCGACGGTCCTTAAGGCTACAAATGGCTCTGCATAATGTTTAAGTCCAACTTAGAGTTAAGTTTGACTTAGTATCTTTGTGAAACCCCCCCCCCCCCCATATGTGAGATCCAAAAGGACCTTCACTCATATACTTTTACAAAGATTTAAAGCCCTCCTGGCTCTGATCAGGCGCTATTGTCTCTGGAGAGCCAGAAGGGCGTCAACTCATCATAGAGTTAACCCATTCCCTGCTGGAGCCAAGTGGTCTATGTATTAGGCCTATGGCAGTGAGAGAATTCAGTGGTCAACGGGTCAACGTACTTTTCGTTTAGGCTCTGGGGGGGGGGGGGGAGGCAATATGAAAATGGTTTGTGAAGGCCAATGGATTGATGATCAGTGATTATTCCCCGCCAATCCAGATGGTTGTTAATAATTGGGGACATTATGAATGTTTCATCAAATGCATCATGTGCATTTGTAGGTCATCAACCTCGACTTGTCTGTCAAATGCTCCATGCTCCCAGCAAGAATAAGAGACATAACATGTGAACAGTGAACATTGGCCTATTTGTGACTCTCCGCTTACAAAGACTGCTGGTATGACCAGCTTTCAACACTTATTGGTTGATACAAGAAGTGACCCTTGTTGACAACTGCGCAACAGTCTAATTTAAAAAAAGGGGGGGGGGGGCAAGCAAGACCATGCATCCCCACCCCCCCCCCCACACACACACATTAACACAGAGACATGGAACATAATAACATGTTTTTCTAACGACTATCATTAGGGAGGAAGTCCAGGATTCCCCCAAAATATAAGACACATAATCATTTAACATGATATGTCGTAATAATTTTAACTCAAATATTAAAAATTATTAGTGTCTTGTCCATTTAAGGTCAAATACTTGTAGCTAAACATGCACTTTTACAGTAGTTACATGTATGCACAATTTTGGGAATCATCGCAAAATTTCCCTAGTAAGATGAAAGATAATGAACATTGCATACTTTTTGTATACTTTGTGAAATAGATACATGTACATGTACAGTTAGGCCAAGTAAAAATATATACATGTTTTTGATAAAAAAAATTCTCAAATGAATTAAAACATGAAAAACATACTGCTAAAATGATCTATTTCTGATTTAAAAAAAAAAAAAAAAAAACGATACCGGCGGCCATCTTGAAAAATATCCTGACTGTCTGGAAAAATGTACCGAGCGCCCATTTTGAGCGGCCATTTTGAAAAGAAAAAAAAGAAGAAAAAAAAGGGCCTCCTCCTTCCTATTAAAAAAAAAAAACAGGATGCTCAACATGTTTTTTTTTTTTATTTGGCCTTACAACTATATTATTCATACCCTTACCAAGTTTTGTAATTTTTGAAGTACAGGAATGTGAAAATTTGATTTCTCCTGCTTTATGTTTCTTGAAAATGGTACATATTAAAGCTTTCAACAAAGGCATCAAATCAACCAGTTCACTTTTCATTCTCGAGTAACTACATGTAGAAACATTAAAAAACATCAAATTTACAAGGGGTAGGAATAGTTGAATACTGTAGTTGTTCACTGTAAATTTTGCTCGTCGAGTGTAGATCTGTAGTAGAAGCAAAACAGCATGTTTGTTATGTATCGTCGTCGTACAGTATACAGCCTCCCACTGGTTACTGTGTGCTGATGCAAGGAAGTGGATGATTATATTCCCAGCCCTTTAAATATCGCAAGACTTTCTCTGGCTATGACTTACACGTAGGGGTGCATTCAGACAATTTTGTGAAGCTATAGAATCACAAACATGAATCATGGATCAAAACGCCGTCAAAAACATGGTTACTGTGGGAGAGCGTTCAAGCGGTTTTTCATCAACGCTGATTCTTGCTTATTTCAAGCCCAGCCACTGCTCATCACACTGTGCAGTTTGACCCTGGAAGTATAGGTCAACTTTCGCCGTGTGCTTTATGAATTTGATTACGGTCGACTGTCGGCTAAACTGGAAGCAGGCCATGATAATGATTTCTAGCGAATCACGATACAAAATGCATCTTTTTCAGCATTTCATGTTTGCGTTTTTAAACACGTTTATTTTTACGATAGGCAAAAAATCGCTAGAAATTACTTGAACGCAACTGTTTTTAAAACTAATCGTCTTTGAAAAAATGTTTCTAGGGTGAAAAAGTGGCACTTGAACGCACCCTTAATCATAGCCTGCATTTCATACAGGATGTACTTTTGGCATGCTTGTACGTGTATGTGTTTTTCTTGAAAATTTGTTCACGTGTTATATCACTAGAGATCGTATCTTGTACATGTACATGTATGTGAAGTAAGCAAGTCACCTTTGAACTCCTGAAGTGTTTTTTATTGTTTGCATTCCCCTCTTTGTGTTACTCTATGTACCGGTGTATAGCGCCTTGAGTAAGTTATTAGATAAGTGTGCTTTATAAGTAATTATTATTATTATTAATAATAGTGGGCTCTTGTATAGTGCTCATGTCTGTAAGACTTGACACTCCTGGCGCTCCCGATTGTTACCCTGGCTTTACCACGGCTGCTATTACGGCGCTCTAGTATTTCACAGAATTAATTCCTGCCAGGTACCCATTTACATCACCTGGGTTGAATGTGGCAAATGTAGATCAATGTCTTGCTTAAGGACATAAGTGCCGCGGCGGGACTCGAACCCGGACGTTTTGATCGACAGTCAAATGACATATCCACTCGACCACAACACCTCTATATCATCATTATTATTATTGAATGTACGCATGTATCAGTGAAAAAAGGAAAGAATTATTCAGGTTGTAATTAAAGTATGAAGCAAATTTGATGAATTCAGGCCCCTGTTTCATGAAACTTGTTATCAATAACAAATGCTAAATTTCTATGTTGAATTAGCAGTCGGCCAATCAAATGCTACGATTTCAGTAGCTTATAACATTTATTGTAACTGGTTATTGATTACAAGTTTTATGAAACAGGGCCCAAAACTAATATACAGGAGTATAATGTAAACATAGTTTTAGCTTTAGAAAAAGCACTTAATTCTGACGAACCCAACAAGTTTCACTTGGGATATTATTAATGTTTAATTAGCATGGAATTGGTAACAATTTGAAATACAAAGTATTACAAGCACTTTGTTTAATTGATTAAAAGTTATCTGGAACAATCAATCAAAAGAAATGAATTTTGTCCATCATACTTCGAGGGTTGAGTGACACAAAGACGTAACTCCATATTTTGCTAAAAATGAGTATTTGATATCAAAATGTGCAGAAAAATGTGGGCTTTCCAGGAAAACACAAAGGGTGCGGTTATCGTGTCTTGCCACTAGATATGTACATATTGAACCCAACTATACGAAAGTGATTTTCGGGATGTCGCGTTTATCGTCTTTTCACGATTCAAAATAAAGGCCTTGTCTCTGCGCAGCTGCTTTGCGCCGTTTGACCAGGGAAGCAAAGAGTTGCTCGGAAGTCAACTAGGGCATAGCACATGGTGCGCACTATTTCGCTGAACCTGAATTTAGCCTGGAAAGGTCTGATTTGTATGTAGGGTTCAAAACAGCTTTGCGTTTATCATGTCTCAGAAACGTGATTCTGGCTGTATGTCACATTCAAAACCCATCTTTTTCGGCGTTACAATATGCCCATATCTAAAGACGTTTGAAAAAGGCTTTGCGTTTATCACCTTAAAAATTTGCCTGAAAGATGTTTGAGAAACCTGATTCTAGGAAAAAAAATGGTCAATAAACACACCCAAAGACTTGGCTCCACCCAACACCCCATTAAAGTCAATGGCTAGTGAAACATACGACTTAGCTCTTTTAAGGCCCAAGTGCTCAGTGACATGAGCCATTTTTTCTCAAAATGGCAAAAATGGAATTACGTCTTTGTTTCACCGACCCCTTGATTTGTACAATATTTACCAAACAGCTGTGTGAGACCATGGACCACAATGTTCCTGGAGATGGCACAGATGCGTCTTTTGAAGAATTGATTTCTAAACCAAATGTTTGTTATTAGACCAACCCTGATGAATTGTTTCACTGGACACCTGATGTTTGATGTAGTCGTGACTCATTCTTTCATGCTTGTAGTCTCGCCCTCAGCAAGTTTTCACTTAATTATTTGCAGCGAAAGACTGCATTTATTCTTTATTGGCTCCTTTACTGAGATTTATGACAAAAAACGAAAAGGAAAAGCAACAACAAAAGTTTGTAGTAACATCAAAATTTGCTGGAAAGGATTATTTTTGTTCTCTGTCCTTTTAACTGAAAAAGTGAAGAAATCTGCTTCGGGAGATATCCGTAGTACTGAAATTGGAATGTTTATCCAAATTTTTCATCACATCCTAATGATTTGTCAGAAAATAGAAAACTATTTCTAAGAATATTTGAAATAATTTCTCAACTAACATATGTAACCTGCATAGACTAATGATGCCTTGTACATGTACTCTCGAGTCTCAAGGAAAAAAGCACTACCAGTCTACCAGGAAAGTGTACATGCATATATACTTGTTATTATAACCATTGATTATAAATGTCCTGACTTCGTTCAGCAATTGCAATAAAAGCAAAATATTATTGTTGATAATTAATTCTCCTTTTATTTTTTCTACAGCATTTACTCCACGGGACACTAAATCTTCACACTCAACTCCTACCCACGGGCCACGCCCTTCGGCAGCAGCTGTCACAGAGAGACTATCGAGGCCCAAGTCGGGAATGAAATCACCCTCATCTAGTACCACTAATCTATCAACTCCATCTCCCAGCTCATCATCAAAGGTATGCAAAAGAAGTGACAATTGTGGTAGTAGTAGTGGTAGTGGTGGTAGTGGTAGTGGTGGTAGAGATAATGCAGGCCCAGAGATACTATCGAGGCCTAAGCCACGAATGAAATCCCCATCATCTACTTCCACTAATCTATCGACTCCATCTCCCTGCTCATCATCAAAGGTATGTAAAATTACTGGTAGTGATAATTGTGGTGGTAGTAGTGGTAGTGGTAGTAGTAGTGGTGGTATAGACAGTTGCAGGCCCAGAATAACTATCGAAGCCTAAGCCAGGCATGAAATCCCCATCGACTAGTTCCACTAATCTATCAACTCCATCTGCCAGCTCATCATCAAAGGTATGCAAAAGTAGTGACAATTGTGGTAGTAGTAGTGGTAGTGGTGGTAGGGACAGTTGCAGGCCCAGAGAGACTATCAAGGCCCAAGCCAGGAACAAAAATCCCCATCATCTAGTACCACTAATCTATCAACTCCATCTCCCAGCTCATCATCAAAGGTATGTAAAAGTAGTGACAATTGTGGTAGTAGTAGCGGTAGTGGTGGTAGAGACAGTTGCAGGCCCAGAGAGACTATCAAGGCCTAAGCCACGAATGAAATCCCCATCATCTACTTCCACTAATCTATCAACTCCCATCTCCAAGCTCATAATCAAAAGCTACTGTCAATTAAAAGTTGGAATATTAGTGGTAGTGGTAGTGGTAATGGTTGCAGCAGATTTAGTCACAACTTAAGTAAGCTGAACCCAATCACAACACTTTCCCTTTACTTTTGGCAAAGTAAAGCCTGGAGCAAATGCCCATGGAGCTATTAATTCCAGACCACCACCATATGCTTTAGAATCCCTCCAGTTTGGAATACTGCATACTTCATTCTTTGTAGGGACATCAAATCATGAGTTATATTTTCTCTGTTATTCCACATGCCAACGACCACTTAAAGGCATCGTTTAACAATGTTAAATCTGAGATGCACTGCCCTACGTGTTATCAGTGTCTGTGATATGGTTGAAGCCCTAAACAAATTGTGCTTCAAAGTGATCAAGAAGTGCCTCAAAAAAGTATTAAAAAATGAGTGACCGGTGTTACCATACTCGTTTTCCCAAATAGACTGTAGTGTTATGAAAACCGTTAAGAAACGCAAAATTTGGTTCCGATTTCCAATCATAAATATCTTGATAATCAGACAGGCGATCGGCTTGTAAAAGTCACAGGGTTCTTGACCAGCCCAAAGGTTTATAATTATAATTGCAGCATGAGCTAAATCCATGATTTTGTTTGAGAATCTGAGACAAAGTTACCTGATCCCTTTAAAACCCAACCTTCTTTTGACTGTTTTTCTTGACAGAGGGCACCGTCACCCCGCACCGTCGGCAGACCACAGTCACCCCGGCAGAGAACGCCCCTCTCTGCCCGATCGTCCAACGCTTCAAATGCTTCAGCGGACAGCCAGGCGAGCGGTGGCTCCACCACGCCCAAAAGACCGCCCTCTCCGAGGAATACGACGAGGGATAAGTCTTCGGACTCACATTCGAGCGGTAAGACGCCAAGTAAGTCACAAGCCAAGGGTAGTTGCATGTGGCGTTCTAACTCTCCTTTTCACGTAGTTGTACTGTACAGTATATTGATAGAAGGCACTTGTAGATTCCTTCAGTGTTCCAGCTAACACCATGTGAACTTTTGAATGTTACATGTTCGTTTAGCAGTGGTCATAGGGGATAGTGCTTCACAAACTAATATCCTCTTATCTACATGTACCTTGTTTTACTACATCTACCTTATTGTAATCAGTGATTTTTTATTTAGTTGATCAATCCTCTCTTTTTGTAATTTATAATCTCTTCTTCCTCTACACTGTCACACTTTTGCCTCTATATGATTGTGTCTTTCTGTCTTATCTCTCACTTTCTTTCTCTCTCTCTCTCTCTGTCTCTTTTTCTCCCCTTTCTCTCTCTCTCTCTCTTCTCTCTTTCTCCCCCTTCTCTCTCTCTCTTTCTCTCTCTCCTCTCTCTCTTTCTCTCTCTCTCCTCTCTCTCTTTCTATCTCTCTCCTCTCTCTCTTTCTACCTCCCCCTCTCTCTTCTCTCTCTCTCTCTTCTCTCTTTCTCCCCCTTCTCTCTCTCTTTCTCTCTCTCCTCTCTCTTTCTCTCTCCTCTCTCTTTCTCTCTCTCTCCTCTCTCTCTTTCTCTCTCTCTCTCCTCTCCCTCTTTCTCTCTCCTCTCCCTCTTTCTACCTCCCCCTTCTCTCTCTCCTCTCTCTCTCCTCTCTCTCTCCTCTCTCTCTTTCTCTCTCTCTCTCCTCTCTCTCTTTCTCTCTCTCTCCTCTCCCTCTTTCTACCTCCCCCTCTCTCTTCTCCCTCTCTCTCCAATGTTTCTCTCCCTAATATAATTGTATGACTAAGATGTGGACTAAACTCCATGTGGATTAACAAAAACCCACACCAAATACCAATTTACCATTGGCAAAAATATTGTTGCAGCTTTTTATAGAATAATTTTGTTTGTATACTTTGATAACTATTGACTCTAGAGTGTGATTAATGATGATCTCTCTGGGGAAATAATTGCCCATAATGCTATATCAACGATTGAATATCAGAAGTTGTTGCATACATGAAACACACAATTTTGTGACTTTTGTGGGTAATCCAGTTTCAAAAGTTTCATGGAGCGAAACAATTAAATCACCTTGGAACACAAAATTGAGGAAATTCACAAAAATCTCATTTGAAGGAAATAGGCAGGATGAACTACAATGTATTTGTGAGAGTTCATGGCTTGACAATGGTATCCTTGATTTGTTTCTCCCTGTGTTGTCTGTACTACTTTAGTAAGATGTCCTACATGTACCTTAGCCTTTATCTGATGTAATACATGTACATTGCTTTACTGTACAGGTAACAAGTCTACCAGCAGCAACCCTCCACCCATCAAGAAAGCCCTGACCCCATCGGCAGGGGTTGTCAAACCCACCCCTACCAAGCCAGGCCAGACAGCCAAATCCAAATCCAGTACTCCAGCCAAGAAAGAGTCGCCCACGACGCCCACGCCGCAGGACAAACCCAAGGCCGCGCCCGCCGACAAACCCAAGGCCCCGCCCGCCGACAAGACTAAGGCGACACCGGCAGAGAAACCGAAGCCTGCACCGGCCGCCGCCAAGGCACCAGCAGCGCCGGCGGCAGCGAAGCCAAAAGCCAGTGAGGCTAAACAGAATGGCAGTGAGTAGATATGTTCCTGCAGTTTACTCTGAGGAATATTATTATTATTTATTCGGCAAAACAAAGTGTATACCAAAAATTTATATAGAAGAACAGATCATACAAAATAAAGGATGAAAATCATTAAAGAAAAAACATTATCATGATTCCCATGAGCATTTACAAGTTGCCAGGGGAATGGGGCAGGCAATCTAAATCACTGAAACCGTGAAGGTCCCCCATTCCGACTTGCAATACAAGACAAACATGCTCTCATGTTTTGATCAAAAGCTTCATGTATTCAGCATTAACAATGTTCGATTACAGAGAATGAAATCAAACTTTATGCTGTTCAAAGAACTGATATTACCATTACTAAAATACAAGCACTTATGTATATTCTTCAATTGGTCATTTATCCACTTAGAAAGTTGATATATGAACAGTTTCCCTCTTGTTATGTTTTGATAAATGTCAGGAGTCCTGAAACCTTTCGTTTAGACATTGCAGTTCCAACATGATACATTGTAAGAGTTGTGCAGCATTTCTTGGAGTGTAACTTATAAAGCCCCACTGCACTACTTATAGCTACTTGCGCCCTCTATATAGCAAACAATGCCTAAGCAGTGACTGTTGGTCCCCCATGGTCCCCTTTTTCTCATGTTAATTGAGAGCTGATTTGATGAGATCACCACCTGTCGGTGACCATGCAGGGAGGTCTAATCCACCCTGGCCAAACTAGTGCAGTGGGGCTTTATGCAGCAAAAAAAATTGAGCCTAAGGAGGAAATGATCTACACAGACAAATACATGAACATGTGATATGTAATTTTGTGATTAGCCATATTTTTGTCTATAATTAAAGATGAACTTGAGTTTCTGGTAAAAAAAGAAAATGAATTCTCACAGAATCAAACGAAACATACACTAAATGTTCAAGATTACAAATAAATGTCATTTGCTGAACAAATTTGGAAGAAAATGTATACTGGCTGGGTAATGAGCATAGAAAGATAAGGAAATCACAGTACATGTAAAAGTACATGTAGGCCTGACACCATTTGTGTAGTCCCATATACATCTTTATGTGTACAGTGTTTGTTACTTTACTAAGACTGGGCCAAATTTATAATGATTTTGATGACTCCAGAACCTTGCAGTACACACCAATACTTACTTGCTACATGATCTACTTTTTCTGATCCATTCCACACCTTTTTCTTTCTCAATGCAATCGCATGACCAGGGGGGTGTTTCACAAAGATCCTAAGTTAAACTTATCTCTAAGTTGGACTTAACAATTATGGAAAGTCATTAGCATCTTTGAAAATATTTTGTAAAAGTTATTTAAAAAGGCATAAAATGTTGATTCAAATCATCCATATTTATTATTATTATGGGAGATTTCATGTCCTAAATGGGGAATTGATAAAAAGTCTAAAATACTTGAAGTTTTGCTTTTATATATATTTCAATTTAAGGTTACAAATGGTCTCCATAATTTTTAAGTCCAACTTAGAGTTAAGTTTGACTTAGAATCTTTGTGAAACACCCCCCCCCCCCAGAACTCAACTTTATCTTTAATGTGTCGTTATGATTGCTCCAATTACCTTAGGTGACAATGGAGACAAGTCGGAACTTTCAGCAGAGGACAGAGCAAAGCAAGCCTTGGCTGAGCGGAGGAGACAGGCCAGGGAGAAGGCCGAGAAGGAGGCAGAGCTAGAGAAACAGAGACAAGAACAGTTGAAGTAAGCAAGATCAAGAACACTTTAATAATTCTGCGCTGTTCCTGTCATTCATAATAATGATAATAATATTGGGTTCTTGTTTAGCTATCATATCTGTCAGACTTGCCACTTCTGGGGCGGGTTTGACATAGACTAAGATCGACTTTCAGTTGGACTTAACTATGGCAGGCCATTTAAATGCCCCTGGTTGCTTTCACCATTGGTGTTTAGATTATATTTTTTCCTTCAATTATGAATTATCAAAAAAAGTGAATTCTGTAGATACATGACCACGATTTATACGTCCCTGTCAGACTTGCCACTTCTGGGGCGGGTTTGACATAGACTAAGATCGACTTTAAGTTGGACTTAACTATGGCAGGCCATTTAAATGCCCCTGGTTGCTTTCACCATTGGTGTTTAGATTATATTTTTTCCTTCAATTATGAATTATCAAAAAAAGTGAATTCTGTAGATACATGACCACGATTTATACGTCCCTGTCAGACTTGCCACTTCTGGGGCGGGTTTGACATAGACTAAGATCGACTTTCAGTTGGACTTAACTATGGCAGGCCATTTAAATGCCCCTGGTTGCTTTCACCATTGGTGTTTAGATTATATTTTTTCCTTCAATTATGAATTATCAAAAAAAGTGAATTCTGTAGATACATGACCACGATTTATACGTCCCTCGAGAGACCAATGCCAGTAAATGGTGAGAGCAAACAGTGGCATGAAGGGCCTGCCATAGTTAAGTCCAACTTAAAGCCAATCTTAGTCTTTTTGAAACACTCCCCTGGTGCTCCCGATCGGTCTGCCATGGTCTGCCATTTTTTTCCTGACATCTATGTCAACCTTTTCAGGACATGTCCACACTACTTTTAACATCACACAACCCTCGTGAATAATCTGTGACTTTTATCTGGTATTCGGCTTGATCAAGCATTACATTCCCTCTAGACAGCTACGTTCTCAAAACTCTGGCTTACTTGTTACTCCTAGGGTTAAAACAAAGTGAGGGGAGCGAACCTTCGCTCATGCTGGGACTTCATTATGGAATACTCTCCCTCAATGGATTAAAAATAGCAGTTCTGGGGAAGTGTTAAAAAACAATCTCAAGAAATATCTGTTTAATTTAGCTTATAATTGGTTACCATTACCTTTCATGTCTGTACCTTTTCTATCGCACTTTTGTATATACTTATCATGTATTTCGTCTCTTGCACAAGCTGCACCTGGAGCATTTGACTGTCAAGTGGATTTGGCGCCATACAAATCTTATGTATCATTATTATTATTATTACAATTCAGGATTGAGGAGGAAGAGATGAAAAAGAAGGCAGAAGAGGAGAGGTTAAAGGCCGAGCAGGAAGCGGTCAAGCTAGCGGAGGAGCTAAGACTGGCCGACATCGAGCGTCAGAGGCAGGAGGAGGAAGATAGAATGAGAGAGATGGTAGAGGAAGAACAGAGACTGGAGGAAGAGGAGAAGATGGTGAGATGATTTTTGATGCTATTTTGATCTTTTGAAAAAGAACCTGCCGATTTCAGCAGGATTGGTGACAGGAAATGTGAAAAGTGAAATACTGTATGATCTAGTAGTATTATCTTATGTTTTTTTGTTTGTGGTTGTTGATTTTTTGGTGGGGGGGGGGGGGGGCACGGGGGGTTGGAAGATTGAAGCAACTTTTGAATTGTTGGACAAATGATATTTATTTGTAATCTCAAACATTCAGTGTTTGATTATCAAGATATTTTTTTTCATAACACTTCAGTCTATTGGGGAAAATAAATATGGTAAATCCGATCGCTCAATGATCTGACCTTCTTTTGAAGTACACTTTTTGTAGGGCTTCAATATTACACCAAATCACAGACACTGATAGCATGTAGGGCCGTACATCTCAGATTTGTAAAACTGGAAACATTGTTTAAACAATGCCTTCAATAAGATTAGAAACAAGAAGCTAAAAACAGAGTCTGATGTTTTTTCTTGTTTGTTTGATTTTCAGAGGGAAGAAGAGGAGAGGATGAAGCAAGAAGAGATGGCTAAGAAGGAAGAGGAAAGGAAAAAGCAAGAAGAGGAGCTGGCTGCCAAACACAAGAAGGAAGACGAGGAAAGGGACGCAAGGAGAAAGGTAATGTATTACATAATCAACATTCCATACCAGACTCCCATCATTTATTGATTTCTCTCTGCAGTAGCAATGGGAGTGGTATTGGTAGAAGTAGTGGTAGTGGTAGTGGTAGTGGTAGAGGTAGAGGTAGTGGTAGTGGTGGTAGTAGTGGTAGTAGTGGTAGTAGTAGTAGTGGTGGTGGTAGTGGTAGTAGTAGTGGTAGTAGTAGTAGTGGTAGTAGAAGTGGTAGTAGTAGTGGTAGTGGTAGTGTTAGTGGTAGTAGTTGTAGTGGTAGTGGTGGTAGTAGTGGTGGTAGTGGTAGTGGAAGTAGTAGAGGTAGTAGTAGAGGTAGTGGTAGTGGTAGTGGTAGTGGTAGTGGTATTAGTGGTAGTGGTAGTGATAGTAGTAGTAGTGGTGGTGGTAGTGGTTGTGGTAGTGGTGGTGGTAGTAGTAGTAGTAGACTTTTATCAAATAACTTGTTGAGCAACAGGCTAATCTGCCACAAGGTCTATCCATGGGAGCAGTTGCAAATAAAAAAATGTGTGTTACGAAGTCAAAACTTGTTTGTAATCATAATTGTTGATATTATGATTAAAGTTCTGGTTTCATTAAAGCACATTTGATCATTGTATAAATAAATGAATGAAATAATCAAGTAAATAAAATACTATTTCCTTTAACTTATTGTTTGATTAAAATACTCTTTTTTTTTTTTTTTATAGCTGTATGGTCCTTAATTCCCTTTTTTAATATTTTACTCTCTTTTAAAATAAAGCTTTCTATTTGATTGATTTTTCTTGTTCTCCATAAACAGAGAGTGGATGAGATCATGAAAAGAGCAAGGAAAGGAGCACAAAACAAGGTAAGTTTGCTTTTCATCAATTATTATTCAATAACCATAGATGATGAACCAAATTGTCCTGGTGCATTTTTTTTTTTTTTTTTTTGGAGAATTAATTATGCCTTTTCTGGGGACAGCCAGTATCTATTTGATGAAACCAAAGACAATTACAAATACTTGCAAAATTTCTCTATAATATAAACATTGCAATGTAAGAATTGAATTGGAATGGTTGTTAACATCTTCTGTCTTATTCTCAAATCATTTAATTTGCTAGGATGATTCCTCCCAGCCTGGCTCCCCTGACAGCGAGAAGAGCAACGACTCCCAGGGAAAGACCAACGGAGTCAACTCGTCTGCCATGCTCCTCAACGACAAATACCGCAATCTCCTGTCCGGCAACCGAAACATCGGTAGCAACCCCGCATCAGGTGACGAGGATAGCGCAGATGATCTGATCGATCAGGTGGAGGGAGGTCGCAAGGGGTCAGATGCGGCCGCGATCTCGGACGCGCAGAGTAGCGCGGAGGACGAGACCGATGGCGCAACTGATGTTGATCTCATTGGTGGTGGTGGTGGTGGTGGTGATGGTGGAATTAACCTTGTATCTCAAGATAACACTCATGATGCTAATACAGGGGGTGATGATGGTGATGATGATGATGCTACCGGTACCGGTGGTGGTGATGCAGTCCAAGAAAAAGAAGAAGAAGGCTCGAGCACAGATGGTAACGTTCTTCTAATGGAAGAGGAGCAGAAGCCAGTCGAGCCAGTGGAAGATGTTTCCGATGCTGTAGAGCAGGAGGATACTGCACCCGTCACAGATGCAGAATCGGGCGTCGTCATAGCAATTGATGATTTTAGCATTGAACAAACGGTAGAAGAACCGAGTGCTGGTGTACCGGCCTTAGTGGACGAGGCCACTGTTGATAATGGGCCCCAACCAGAGCCCAGTATACCAGAGAACTCGCATGCTAGCCCTGAAACAGACTCGATAGAGCATGCCAATAACGGTCAGATGGACCAAGAATCTAGCCTAGTTATAGACCCCAAGGGTGGAGTAGACTCGTCCCTGCTAATAGAGCATCCGGCGGGCAAAACTGAAATAGAGATCACGAACGGGGAGGGTGGTCTGATGGAGCACGGCAATGGGGACTCCGGCGTCGAAGAAGGGGTCAAGGTTGGTTTCAAGTTTAGTCACAGCCCTGAGGATTCTGGGATTGAAGGCAACAACCAATCAGGCGCTGTGTTGACCAGTGAGATTTGATATGATGGGTGATATGTAAGTATGTATTTATCACCTCAGACAGAGATGCCAACTAGTGCGATTAAATCGATAACAACAGTGAAAAAAGATAATACGTTATCACCCTTTTAAAATACGATTTTTCATCTTTCAATAAAAAAAAAAGAAGAAAGATAAAAAAGCCCATAAAAAATGCTGAATCGTATAGAAAAATGTACAAGTTAACCCCCGCAGCCCCAACAAAAACTTTGCTTTACAATTTTCTCATTAAATTTTAATGAAAGAGCAAACATTTTACTTGACCGCTCTTACCAGTATAACATTTTTCTGAAATTTTACTGGCCCAGGGCCATCGCGCTAGTGGTAGTGTCGAGTTTTCGTGAAAATCTGATTTTTTTTTTTTAAGATACTCGATCTGTTGGCATCTCTGCTCGGGGAAAAGTAGTCAACTGGAATTGAAATACAGACTTCTCAACACTCGTATCATAGTAGATAGAGGCTCATTCTTATGGATGTATTGAACTGCAAAGAATGAATAGATTAATGTAACTGTATTCACGCCTTTCATATACATTAATCTAACATTATATTTTTTATTGTAGAACACACTATCATACCATTTACTAAAAAAAGATATCATCATTTACTCAAAATATGCAGTACAGGATAACCTAGTATATCATTACATTATATCATATCATCAATTTAACTTTCTTTTTATTCATGGAAGGTATTATTCCTTTTTACATTTCATTCATGCATGTACTTAAGTTGGTAATCAGTTGTACACTCTTTTTAATCTTTGTATTGGTTATCCTTTGAACTAAAAATCGATGTATTTGTTGTTTATTATTATTGTATGAATGTTCAAAATGATTTCATTGTCATGTCTTTGTGAAAGCAGCCTCATTTTTGGTGAGGTTAAACCTATAAAGTGCATAGAAAATAGAATATATATGTAAAGCGCTTAGAGACGTCCGAGATGTATTAAGCGCTATATAAAAGCTGACTATTATTATTAAGTCCACTGATTTTTACAGAGTGCCGACTGTTTCTTCACCCTACACATATTGCCATTACTCTATATTACAATGAAAATCCAAACTCCTGTGACTATGAAACGACTATCCCACTTTCATTCCATACCCGAATTAACTTTATTTATTTTGTGACAGAATTATAGTAATTGATACAAAACTTGAAGAGGCATCTTCTATGGAGTAGTGGTTAAAGGTAAAGACCAGTTATGGTCATGCGATTGCATTGTGAAAGAAACGTTGTGGAATCGATCAGAAAAGGTTGATCATCTAGCATCTAGCATCTGCAAGGTTCTGGAATCATCAAAATGATAAGAAATTTGGCCCATTCTTCGTAAAGTTACAAGCACTATACACAGAAAGATGTATATGGGACTACCCTATATCTCTCTCAGACCATGAGAGAAACAAATTTACCAAATATATGAATTAGTAGGCAGTTTCCCGGCAATTTTTTTATCATCATGTATTAGTCAAAACATATTCTTTCACATGATTGGTAATGAGAGCTTCCATTTCATTTTTTTAAATTGGGGTGTTTCCAATACTGGTCTTTACCTTTAAGCTAGCTTGTAGACCTTTAAGGGGAAAATATCGGTCATCGTCGTTACGATCATTCAGGTAGATATTAATTCTTATTCATCATTTTGTAATTGCTCTTTATTTTTTATTCACCCTTATGAACTTCAGAATCCCATTGAAGCCAACCGTCGCATCTTCGGATACGAGTAGCTTCGTCAGGTAGGGGACTCTGATCCCGGAGGGACTCTATCTGCCATGACACTGCGTAGACTCCTCCCCCTTTCGGTTACCATGGCAACTATATCATCGCAAGCCTTCATCCAGCATGCTTTAATAGTATAATGTGTGTACATAACATTGACAAAGATATTGTATTAGCACTATGTTAAGAAACAATATGGAGTGTGCAAAGAGTGTATCGGTCGGCTGTTGAGATGGCGTGGGGACACGTTCACATCAAGTTCACCAAATAACGGTCGATAAAAACATTGAAAGTGATGATGGGCCTTCATCGGTTGACGAAAGGAGACACTAACTGCAAAATTTGAAGATTTCTCAAGTCGGGACGGCAGATGAAGTTGTGTGAGGTTGGAAGTTGACAAATAATAGCATACTGCTACTTGTGGTGTTATTGTTGCAGATTTTTTGAAAGTTGTGAGCTGTGGAGTGTTCAAATTTCGTGCAGATTGGTGGAGGTTCTCGATGGTTTACCGAGTGTGAACGTGCTCGAACCAACGTATGATTTAAACTTCGGGATCCGGGCAAGACACAAGTTGCTAGAGAAGTTGATTACGTTACTAAAAAAAACACAAAACACCTATTTTTCACAGGGATTTTCTTTCAGCTCTGCTAGGCAATAGAAAGCTCAGTTGAGGGAAAACATTTTTATTTGGTATTCAAACCACTTCAGATTAATCATTAAAAATTCAGAGGCATTCATTGATATTATTGTTTATTTCAATGAATTATTGCATTATTGGACAGGTTTGATTTGTCAAAATTGACTGAAAAAACAACATCAAACCTGGATGGTTTTAATCCAATATTAAAAATATTGAAATTATAATTGTATGATGGCATTGGTATATTTTGTTGTGAGATTTCTAAGCTGTCTGCCATGCTTACAGCATTTTAGTGCAGATGAAGGGAGGGCGTGAATTTGGTTGTTATCAAATTTATTTTTCCAAACGTTCTGTTCCACTTTATTTTCACTCTCTAAACTCTAGCAACATGTGCCTTTTAATTGTTTGGTGAAAAGAGAATAAAGTTGAAAGAAACTTGAAGCATTTTCTCTCCGGACTTGCTTCTTTCTTTAGCGTGTACATAGATAACAAACCCAGAGAGTAAACCACTGCAGTGTGATCTGAAAAAGTATGATCTGAAAATTTGTCTTTTTATGTCACAATTTGTAAAATACACGAGTGTAGGCCAGAGTAGAAGCTAGCTTCATTTACTGATTAAGTGCCATGAGATATAAATCTATTTGGAATGCATTTTATTATCTGATGACTATACGATTATAATTTGGATGACTACTGTGAGATCCGAGGGAACGAATTACGAATATCTCTCTATGCGGTCATGGCTATATACAATAAAGGGGATATTGCGAGTCCCCGATGATTCAACTTATGAAATATGAGTATAAAAGCAATGATGTTTCATTGTATGATGTGTTGACAATGTTGATTGCGTGCAGTTTTATCCATGCGTTTGCTGCAGTTACGCTTTGTGTGACCCATCCGTTTCTCTAGTGTTGTTTGAAAGAAGTATGATAAAAAATACCAAGTCTATAATACACATGTAACTAATTTTTCTGAGTGTATATCTTATGAATAGTCCTCATTCCATAGAAACTAACCGGTATAATTAGATTTCTTGAATATTTAAGAAAGTATTGTAGGTGAAATAAGTTTAATTCCCATTCTCAATGTATAACTGCACTGTAGATATGTACTTTTTTTTATAATGGGTATTAGATTGGTATACAACTAACGTGTAGGCGGTGGAGTAGGGGGTTTAAATGTTAGGTGAGAAATTAATAGTTCGGAATCCACCTCTTTGAGAAGGGTGATGGGTTCTAAATTTTGTCCAGTTTTCCCAAGCTGCAATGAAGAGTTCTATATTTACAGGATCGTAGTTTCTCCTTTACTTATTGGAGTTAGCCTCGATAGAAAACATGATTCCTGTGAAAGTGAATAATAGGTATGTACTGTGCTGAAACTAAGTATTCAATGTGCAATTATGTGGAAGTGATAGATTCTGCACGGAAAGATTTTTTACTGTCGGCAGTGCTTTGCGAAATGTACTTAACACAAGTTGCAAATTCAGAAAGAAAATATGGGATTCAAAACAAATGTGAAAAGTTCTACTTAATATAGATTAGAACAGATTCAAGTTTAAAAGTCACCGTGATTAATAGCTATAGGCATTGAGAATTGAATTCAATGTTTTTATATATTGTTATTTAAAATTTCTTGTTTAAAAAAACGTTTGTGAAGAACAAATGGCGCAGTGCAGTTTTACTCGAGGTTTGGGTCGATCTAAAAAACTTGCTCAAATAATATATCTAAATTTGGTAGAAAGAAGACATATACAATATGAAGGCATTTAGGAAGTGAGCGATATCTCTACTTTGTCTTTATTTAATGTGTGTTCCCTCAGGATTTCCATGGATGTGCTATGTAATGAAATAATGATTATGTTTATTAGTATATTTACATAAGTCATCTAATTCTTTCCCTTGTTCTGTGAGATAAACTGGGTTATAACGGGGTTTACTAATATTTGCGGGAAACTGAACTCTTGCTAGGAATTTTCCAAAAGAAACTCATCGTTAGGTTAGGTTTTGTGATTTTGGTCAGTATTAGATATCTTTTATTAATTACCTAGATTTCTGGCTGCAGTAATTATTACAAGAATTATCCATGCAAGAAATAGTTGTATTAGATGAGAAAAAGAAAATATATATATTTACATTGAAGGACTTAAAATTATACTTTTTTTCCTGACCATTGATTATTTTATTTCTGAGATTTCCTACAAATGTATTTTAAGAATGTGTCTTGTTGGTCATTTTCCAATACTTCTTTCTTTTTGTATGTATTTGCATGTGAATGTTTATATCCAAATTAAGTTATTTTGAGAGTTTGAAGCTATATTATATAATGAAGAAGTGAACAGAGAAAGAGAGAGGAGTAAACTGCATAGAACATGAATGTCACAAATATGATAGAATAGAATTTTGTCAGAATTGAAGAACTATTGGCCAAGATGATGTTTTAATGATGTTGGTGAATAATTAAGAAGCGAGCTGAGTAATTGCAGAGAAGTTTGAATGATGTATCATTACTTCAAAAGTAACATGTTTTATGATAAAGCCCTGTAATTTGAAATGGATCAAGGCCACAAAAGCGTTTGCAATGATACATTGTTAAAGGGATTGTCATTAATGTATTTTAACAAAGATTGTAAAGATATACAATGAATGAATGAGTTATCCGACATTGATAGTTTTGTGCTGAAAGATATATCCTGCTTCGTTTACTCTCAATTCTGACTGAGAGAGTGGTGGCAGAAAAGTTTGTCCGATTCAAACCATTCTACAAAGTATTTGATAAACTGATGTGAATTTGCTCAAATGCTTTGAATGTCGCAGCATTTTATAAATGCAATGTGTGCAGTATACCATGTGCGTTGTCGCAGTACCTTCCTGTACAAAAATAATAAATACAGTGTACGGAATCGGGGACATTTTGGAATCGTGTGGGGGAAACGTAAAGTGGTCACTTCCACGGCATTGTCTTTGCAGTGAGTTTTGCTTTCAAGTTAAAATTTGGTAAGAGAAAAGAAAATCAAAGTTTTTACCCAATCAAAAATTACCAGGAATTCAAATGTAATGTCTTTGTGTAGGATGAAGTGCACTGTAGGCTAACTGCCCACAAGGCATCAGAGAAGCGGCGTTTCGGCTTATCCTGCAGATTTTTGCGTATACTTGTATGATCATATGAAATAGTAGGAATGCACAGCTTATCTTTCGTCAATTACATGTATTTAACACAAGATATGTATAGGGACCCATGTTATTATACCATTTGTAATTTATATACGGTACGTAAGAGACTGTGGAGTGCTGCTCCGTCTGCTAACATCATTTGAAAAATACATGGTGAGTTTGTGAACGAGATTAACTTTATAGTCATGATGTCGGGATAACAATGCTAGTAACCTTTTACAGTGCAACATGTCTATTGTTATTAAAGATGGATCCAATATTTAAAAAACGATGATCTTCTGTGCAGCCTAAATGGCAGATAATTGCTGTTTTATTATCATTATTACCATTATTGTTAATAAAGAATCATACCATGTTTCTTGTTGAAAAGATAAAAAATCATTATTATGGAAAACTTGCAATATTTTGTGTGATCAGTGTGATTATTGTTTTCCCTTTTTCATTATTTTTTCTGCTTGTTCTTGGATTGGGGTACAATTGTTCAAACTACTTGTAATAACAAGTTCCGTGAAATATCAGAGAACGGGTGGATTTCTGAGTACATGTATTTTATCATGGAATGTAGTGACATAACTTTAACTGTCATCAACAATTCTTAACATACTGTATGGTCTTTCAAATTTTATATCGACACCAATGATATGATGCAATTTACAATTTCTATTGACAGTTAAAGGGCCACTCTAACCCAACTAACATAGCCTTTCAAAACATGAATACACCTCTACTTATTAATATTCCAGACTCTGACTTTTCAAAAAATCTCTAAATTGACCCCAAAAATGATAATAACCATCCTTTTTTCAGCTCTCACGCTTGCTGGGCTACGCCCTTCGAAAAAAGATAATATGGTCACATGGCTTGATGACGCATTTGACGTCATTGCGGGCATGTCCGATTTGATAATTTCATAATTAAGAATGACAAAATTGCCAGAAACGTACTGGGATTATCAAGTGCATATTATTTTTTCGGATAAATATCTTTTCCCCCCTCAATTAATATCATAGTTTGCCTTTTTAAAGACATTTTAATGCCTAAATCACCCTCCTTTTTACTGGAGAGGCGCCTGCAGTGACCTCAAATGCATCATCACCGAAACTGGGCTTTTTTCTGAGACATTTTTTACAGCTAGATTCCAGAATTATTGATGATTTCTAAGAAAAATCATTATGTTCGGAATCTCCATCAAAATTTTTTCTACATGTCTTTTTTTCATTTTGTTAGCCCGTTTTGGTTAGAGTGGCCCTTTAATATCCTGATCAGAAAGGTTAAAAAAAGAAAGGTGTAACACATGGGCCTCGTGAAAAGACATCAAGAGTCTCTTGAAAGATATGTTAAGTTGGAAGGAAAAGTAGGATGTGCCAGAATCAATCATGGAGACGTGTCATGCTGCAATCAACCTCCAAGCTGGGAGAAGGTAACAGGATACAGACAACTTAATTATTCATACCCCTTGCAACTGCGATTTTATTTGTTATTTTTTTAAAATTTATTTTTTTAAACATTTTGTTATATTTATTTATTTTTTTATTTATTTATTTATTTATTTTTTTTTTTTTGGGGGGGGGGGGGATGTAATGATAGCAAAGTACATGTAAGTTCATAGAATCCAACAAAACTTGATCTGAATATTTAAGATTTCAATTGAATGACAAAGCTAAACGATTTTGGTAGAAAATGTAAATAGGACGAGATAAGAAAATCAAGGTAAGTAGGCCAGACACTATGTGCTTAATTAACACCGGTCAGGGCACTGTGCAAATGAGAGTTGTGGTTTTTATTGCAGATGATTTCCAGCATGTTTTTGTGAGGTTATTTTTATTTTACTGGTTCTACAACAACAATCTACTGCAGGATATAAACAATCCAGAATGAATTATAGCCACGTTCTCTCGACATACGATGCCGATACCAGAGCTCAAGACTAATTTTGACCCAAGATTGAAAGGTGGACTGGGGGGGTGTTTTAAATAGCTGTGCGTAAAGTTACAAATGACTTTACAAATGTTTTGAATATTAAGTGCCAAATGGGATGCCCACAGTTTTTCCTGACATGATTTTTACAAAGTGCAACTATTTCCCATAGTCTCAATTAAATTGTAGCCCAAAATGCACATTGCATTATTTTTTCTGAAATAATGATAAGGTTAATCTACATCTGCATACTTAAACTTTAGCTTACCAATAAAAGGATTCAAGAATCCCATTAAGCTCTTCATATACAAGTCATGCGTAACTTTACGCACAGCTTTATGAAACACCCCCTGGTTTTATAATTAAGGCCTTTGTTCAATACTTTTAGGTGTAAGCTTTTATACATCACATTTAAAGAAATGTATTTCAGGAAAAATTTGACATGCATATTTTTTATTTATTTACTTAAGTTGGTAAGGAGAGGAGTAATTAAGTAGTTAACAATTAAAATTGTTCACCTAAAAATAACCCTCAAAATACCACCCCGGTATAGGACAGTACATTCCCTTTCTTTTCAGCTTCTCTTTCTCCTGCCCGTATGTCTCTATCTCTCTCTCTCTCTTTCCCTCTCTCCACTTTAAAACGGTCAGTTTGCCCTTCTTCACACTTAAATGTAACATATAATTTTCACATATTTGTTTCTACTTTCTGTTATACATTAAAGTTAAAGACCAGTTTTGGAAATGCTCCCCTCTCAAAAGATGAAATGGAAGCTCTTATTACCATCATGTGAAAGAATATGTTTTGACTAATGCGTGATGATACAAATCTTGCCGAGAAACCGCCTAATTGATATATTTGGTAAATTATCATATCTATCCGGCCTGGATAGATATCGCGTAGTCCTATAAATATCTTTCTGAGTAGAGTGCTTGTAACTTTATTAAGACTGGGCCAAATTTCTTATCATTTTGATGATTCCAGAACCTTGCAGTACACACCAATACTTACATGTTAGATGATCAACCTTTTTTGATCGATTCCACAACGTTTCTTTCACATGGCAATCGCATGACCAGAACTGGTCTATACCTTTAAACATAACTCAATGCTAAGTCTTGGACCCTTTGAACATACTGCAATCTAACTGCGTAATTGGAGACAACGAACACAGAGCTTCAGGACGAGTTTAGTTTGTAAATATGTAATTGTAATTCTTCTTGAATGAAGCATATACACAGACTGGTAACGAATAAACAGCCGTTACAAGGCTTGCAATTAAAACATTGTCAGTCTCAATTTACAAGGAACTTTATCTTAACGCAGTTCTATACCAACAAGTTGATCTTACCAAAATAAATGATTCTTTGGAAAGCTGGGTCATTTTCATCAGAATTGATTGCCTATCAAAGCAACAACAACAAAATGTACATGGAAATGCTGATCCTGCCTACAGCGTTGTTCATAGTAGATAGAGAATCTGGTTGGAGTTACTAAACATATTTTGAATTTGTAGGCTCTCTTATTCGGTGGAGCCAGATCAGGCTAAGCCAGATGTCACATGAGTAGAGCATAACCATTTTTGTCTAGGTTCCATACTTGATATGCATGGTAAACCACCTACACAAATCCTACCAGTAAGTGAAATGGGGAAATAGGTTTCAGATTTCGGTACCTTGTACGTGACACACAGAAAAGAAAGTACAGCTACGTCTTTTTACCCCATGTTTTATCATCCCTAAATCAACTATCATTAATACAGTCAAACCTGTCTACAGCGACCGCCCAAGTGAAACACAGAAAGTGGTCTTTGTAGACAGGTTGCTTCAATGAGAAACAATTTTCAAGGGAAACAAAAAATGTGCTTGTTGTAGGCAGGTGGTCACTAAAGCAGGTTTGACTGTACCAATAATCATCCATGATTGATATGGTATCCAAGATTTGATTCTGTTGATACATTTTAAAAATATTGTCAGGTTGTGTTCTTGAAGAGAGGGTTGGGTTTAATTGTTACACATGGGATATGTGCAATGCAGGTTGACAACATAATATTAATTATCAAACTTAAATTCTACAAACTGTACATTCTAAAATTAACACTAAATCACATAATAAGCAGTATTAAGTATGCAAACTACACATCAATCCCCCCTCCCCCCCTCTCTCTCTCTCCAATGTAATTAAAAAAATATTCAAACAAAATAAATTATCATGATAGACAGGGTTAAATCAGAATTATCACAAATTGTTTGACACATTTTCCTACAGAAGCAAGACTCTACAAGCCAGGAAACGAATACCTCTGTGTTCAGTCCAGTATATCGTTTTTGACATCCCCCCCCCCCCAAAAAAAAGAAAAACAAATGTCTAAATGAGTGAATATCAATGTTGTTAATTGAAATCTTGAAGCAGCACATGATGGTCCTCTTCCAAAGAACCACGCCCAACGGTCTGTTCCTCTCTCGATGTTGACATTCTCATTCATACCTCAGTCTGGTCAGTGCTGCACCTGGCTCTACCCACAATGTTCAGGGCACTCTTAAAGAATGTTCCAAAACGATCACCCCTGAAACAACTGGAGCTTCTTGATGTCGTGCTGATGCAGTCCTTGCTTTCCAAACACAAAGGGCGTACTGGTTGGTTTAACAATGGCGCTTGGAAACAACTTCCTTAACAATTCAGCTTACATTTATACCTAAGGATCCTAGTTTAAACTTATTTTTACAAGATACAAAAAGTGTCCTTTCCGATCGGAATGCGCGATTCCTGGAATGATCTCTTAGATGGGCTTGATCTTGAAGTGTAAGCCAATGAGAGAGAAGACGAGGCATTTGAGATCTTGGACCAGGTAGTAGAATGTGCGCAGGCCTTCGGCATCTCTGTGTAAAGAAAGAACATGTGGAAGAATTTGTATAAAGCCGCACTGTCCTACTTGTAGCTACTTGCTCCCTCTATATAGAAAACTTCCCCAATCGGTGCCTGTTGGTCCCCCATGATCCTCTTTTTTTATGTTAGTTGAGAGCTGAGTTGAGATAGCCACCTGTCAGTGACCTCGCTGTGTGGTCTAATCCTTCTAGCCCAGTAGTATTGACGGTCTTTAAAAGCTTATCTGTACTAGTTTATAGGAGGGATTAGACCACCCAGGAAGGCCACTGGACAGGTGGTTATATCATCAACTCAGCTCTCAAATTAACTTAAGAAAAAGAGGTTCATGGGGGACAGACGGTCACCGATTAGGCATTGTTTTCTATATAGAGAGAGCAAGTAGCTACAAGTAGGACAGTGTGCAGTTGAAGGCGCCGATTTGTGCTTGTGATTCATGGGGGACCAATGGTCACCGATTAGGCATTGTTTTCTATATAGAGGGAGCAAGTAGTTACAAGTAGGATAGTGTGGCTTTAAAAGAAGGGTTCCCATTGTGAATAGTTATTCAACTCACTGCAGACTACAATAACAATGTACTGCTTTTTACATTTATCGGGCACGAGCCAGCACACATTTGATGATTGATGTTTGATTGTATTACCCAGGGGTGATATTGAGCACTAACATTTTTAAATTTTTTTTTTAATTAAAAAAATTCCCTCAACCACGCCCCCCTTGAGTAAAAAAGAAAAGAAGAGGATTCGGGGGCAAGAAAAAAATGGTATCTAACAACATTCCCCCCTTTTGAGTAAGAAAATTGGGATAAGAAAATGGGGGAAAATAGGGAAAAATAGAGAAAATAAGGGGAAAATAGGGATAAATTGGAAGGAAAAAATTGGGGGGGGGGGGGGGAAATAAAAAATAAATAAAATAAATCGGTAAACCTATTTAAATCGGGTTATTATCAGGCCTGATTACCCGACTGCTAAGAAAGCTTATGCTTGTAAGTACGTAACCAGGGACCTGACTGCTTTCAGTCCCGTCTGAGGGACTTGGTGATGAGGATTTAATGCCATACCACAAGACACAAGCGCATTGGCTAGGTTCTGAACCCTGGACCTCCCGGTGATGAGACCACTGCTCTACCACTCAGTGACTCGGCCATGTGTATGGAGTTTTAAACCATAAACCTTTGTGAATTTAGGAAGCTACAGTTACCTTGGTTCAAAGGCTTCCAATGACTACCGGTACTTCATTAGATAAATGCATAAATTAAAACATTTCAGCATTCAAACATTTACATGTTACAGAATGACCCCTTACAGTGATGAGAAACTTGTGGCTATGTAAAAGATACTTTCTACACCTAGAATATGCAATAAAACAGTAATTCAATTCATTTGAGTAAGCATGGGTATCGGGGATTGCCAACGACTCAAATTTTGATGAGAGAGAGGAAAAGAGAAATCTGAGAGACAGAGAGAGAGAAAGAGAGAAAACCAATTTCATGTCCATTACAAATAGCAAGGATCGACTTGAATGCAAAAGGCTTCGTTGATTGGCAGTTTAAAAAACAGGATATAGGTTCCAATCGAATCTGGGCAATGTGGTTAAGTCTTCAGGGAATTCCCCTAACCCCAAAGAAAGGCTGTGCCAAGACTGATTTAGACGAGTCACTTCATAGTTCATACTAAAATTTAATTAGTTGAATTTCATCCCGAATGACGCCTGTGGTGTTGCCCAACTGTGCACAGTTGCTTTTCTTGAGTATCAGTATTATTTATTTAAAGCCCATGCTCTGCTCTAGCACAGTAGTAATTTCTTTTATTTTTGAACAATGAACAAGTCTTGATGTACTACTCTTTTCAATTGTACAGATTCATTGAATATTTAGTATATTTTCTCTCGAGGATGTACAAAAGAAATAAACATTAAAGTGGACTCGATTTTAGCCGATTTCAAAAACCTACTTACGGGCCAAGACAAGACCCACTCTGACTAGATTTTAAATAACAAAATAGCTATAAGACTTGATATATAACTCCAAAATGTAAATAGTATGAGACTGAGGTCCTTGTTAATTCTTTGTTAGCAAAATAGTACAACAATTTATGCTTTCTATTCAAAGAAAAAAAAATCAAATTGGCTCCCAGTCAGTGGCTATTTGTCAAACTGGTAAAAGATTTTTTGTTTTGGCATCAAGTCAAGCCTTTTCTGAAACTTGAAGGCTCACAAGTCACAACACCTGGTATCAAACTAGTATACTTCACATAATTAAGAACCTTCATCACGAAGCATTCACATTTTGCCAATTTTCCATCTAAAAGTATTTCAATTACTTTCAAAAATCTGGTTGTAGTAATATTTGTAGGATATGCATTAATGCTGAATGGTCATGGCACTATGAATATGAGGGACAAAGAAAGCGGACAAAATATACAGTTCCTCATTCTACCCTCAACAATTGCTATGGTAGACAAAGGAACATCCCTTCACTGCTATTATGTAAAAATCTGTAGACCAGGTGTCACATGCATATTCACCTGTTCTACACATTTTTACATACCGGTAATAGCAGTGAAGGGATGTTCCTTTGTCTACCATAGCAATTGTTGAGGGTAGAATGAGGAACTGTATATTTTGTCCGCTTTCTTTGTCCGTCATGTTCATAGTGTGGGTTTGAGATGCAGGATGGCACTTGTATCCCTGAGGAAGGCATTTAATCTACATAGCTCCTCTCAACCCAGGAGTTTTTAATGGGTATCCAACAGGATGCGAATGTAATTGAGGTTGGGACTAGTTAGCATATGCCTGCCAGTAAACAGGCGACTAGCTGGAATTCTCCCCAGGGAGTGGAGAATAATGTGCACTGTAAATAAATAATGTGCAGAATGGTAATGGAATCTAGTGACCAGGGTAATAATAACACTCAGTGAAAAAAATACATGGGGACTTGGGGCGAATTAGCCCCCGAAATGCCCAAAAGAGCCCCCGAAAGTCATAAAAGAGCCCCCCCCCCCAAAAAAAAAAAAAAAATGTGCATAGAGTTCAATGCAAAACAAATTAAAACTTGTCATTTTCATGCAAGCAAGCTTGAAAAGTAGCCCCCGAAATTTTAAAAGTGTGTTTTCCCCTAACACTGTACAGCAATTTGGTCAGGTTATTGTAAAGCACTTTATGAGAAACCTATAGAGCATGAGAGCGCATGAGAGCGCATGATTGCAGCACTCCACAGGGCTCCAGTTCTTTTGATTATATTTGTATGTTCTACTGCATTGTATGTTTTAAGTTTATAACCAGCTGATAGAGTTATATGTCAGGACTCTACTAGACTGTTTCTGGAACAAATCAACAAGGTTGAAGTGAGTAATTTCAGTCAAAATTATTTTGGTGTTCTCGCCCTATTGGACTGAGGAAGGAAGCCATGCTCAGTTCACCCTATAGCATGTGCTCCACTAGAAGGTATCCATTATTGTCTTGAACTTGAATACACTAGAGGACTTGAATAGAGGACTTAATCCCACTGATCTTCCCACACAATGGGCTGCATTCAACTCCTCCTATTAGTAGCTACTGGTCTCCAAGTTTGTGTGAATGATCCTTGGACATACAATGCCCAGTCATTAGATGCTCACTTTGTTCAGAGTCCCCTTATCAGGAAGCATTTTCTGAAGAGAAGAATTTTGTACAATTCCAATAGCGATGCTTCCTTCCAGATTGAAATACTCAGAGCTGGAGACATTCACAGTAACCCTGGGCCTACTGCACATATTGTAAGTGAAGTTACACCACATGCTCGTGTACAACACAAGTACAGTCATGAGAGTCTTCTCACTATCCAGAATGACTGCAAGAAGCTATTACCACATGATGTTTATTCTACCATCAAGTCTCTTGGACTTAATCGTCAGAGGCCAACTCGTAGAGGAACCAGAGCGGGTCGGCAAACCAAGGCGCGGTCTCACCTCGTAACTACATCACCTCTTCAGACATCTCAACATGCCCCTGCTACACTACAGTCACCTACCTTCTCCGCAGCATACACAGTTACAGCAGAGCAGCATATCCCTGTTGTCGAATTTACACCTAGATATGACCAATGCCCTAGATACCTCAGCAGAAATATCAACAACCTTATCGAGATACCGCGAGTATGCATCAATTCTGCTGGACAGGACTCGCTCAAACTCTGCACTGCCAATTTCAGGTCATTGAGAAATAAGTCAGCAGCAGTAATGGACTACGTTTGTGACAGCAATGCTGACCTGTACGCTATAACCGAAACGTGGCTTACAGAGAATGACGCAGCAGTCATCAATGACATCGTCCCTACAGGTCACATATTCCTACACCATCCGCGTGCTGGTCGTCGCGGCGGAGGAACAGGTCTTCTTCACAAAGATACCATTGATGTCCGTGAGGGCAAAGCTGGTGAGACAAAGTCATTTGAATTTGCTGAATATCATGTCACCTTTGGATCGTTTCAGCTCAGACTTTTCAATCTTTACAGACCACCTTACTCCGAGAATCACCGCGTTCCCATCTCCACGTTCTTATCTGAATTCAGCAAGTTTATACAACCACATCTGATGTCGAACATTCCTATTATTTTGACTGGAGACTATAACATTCATGTTGATGTTATTGATAATCCTGAGTCAAGATCGTTTAGAAATCTGTTAGAATCTATTGGATGTATTCAACATGTTAACGTAGCTACTCATGTACAAGGCCATACCTTAGATCTGATTATAACTCGTCAATCTGATGATATTGTATTGGGGCAACCTTGGTCAGACTCATTGGTGTCTGACCACATGTCTGTTCTCTGTACGCTTAAAGTTTGTAAACCTCCTTTGTCTGTAAATATGGTCTCCTTTCGCAAACTTTCCACTGTTAAGTTCGATGCACTTAATAATGACCTCGCTTCAAGTGAGCTTTGTTTAAACCCTCCTGATTCTCTTGATGACTTAGCCTCATCTTATAATTCTACTTTACGGTCTATTCTAGATAAACATGCTCCACTGTGTTCAAAAAAGGTAAATAATCGCCCCAGAGTGCCATGGTTTACTGATGATATAAGAATGGAAAAGAAGAAGAGAAGGATGGCAGAAAAGAAATGGAGGAAATCTCAGTCTGTCTCTGACCACAATGCATTTAAGTTAGCTCGAAACAAGATGTTGTTTGTAATGAATAATGCTCGTACTAAGTATTATACCGACTGTATTACTGACAATAGCTCAAATCAAAGGAAACTCTTTGATGTAACAAAGTCCTTGTTGAACATGACAAAAAGTGATTCTGTCATACCTCCTAGTGTTGATAACCATGATTTTGTCAATGGACTTGGTGACTTTTTTGAACAAAAGGTAGTCAAAATTCACTGTGATATCGAATCAGTGTTACATGAAGAGGATATCAGTGTTGATTATTCCTTGGAATACTCATCCTCATCCAATCCACCCAAGTTTGCAAATTTCATGCCGTTATCCCAAAGTGATGTTCGGAAACTTGTAATGAACCTCAGTAAGAAATCATGTTCCCTCGATCCAATGCCAACAAGATTGGTTGTTGAATGTTTAGATACCTTACTACCTGTGCTTACACAAATCATAAATTTGTCATTACATAATGGCAAGTTTCATTCAGGTTGGAAACTTGCCTTGGTTAGACCTATTCCAAAGAAACCCAATTCTGAAATGAACTTCAGCAACTTCAGGCCAATAAGTAATCTCCAATATGTGTCGAAGTTGGTTGAAGGGGCAGCCACTGCTCAAATTCAGGATCACCTCCTTCGTAACAACCTTTTCCCTTTAACACAATCGGCGTATAGAAAGTATCACAGTACAGAAACCGCTTTACTAAGAGTTAAGAATGACCTACTTATGGCAATGGACCAGCAGAAAGTTACATTTTTTGTACTTTTAGATCTCAGTGCCGCCTTCGACACTGTCGATCATAATATACTAGCTGAAATACTACAGTCTGATTTTGGGATTACAGATTCTGTTTTATCTTGGGTACAGTCTTACCTGTGCGATAGGGAGCAACAAATATCAATTGGTAACACCACCTCAAAGAAATTCGATGTTAGATGGGGTATTCCTCAAGGCTCCAGGCTCGGACCCCTCCTTTTTTCCCTTTATTCGAGTCGCCTTTTTGCTATCATCAAAGCATACTCTCAGCACATATCTTGTCACTGCTATGCAGATGATACCCAGTTATACATTTCATGTAGCCCAGTCAGGGAACAAGAACAGTCCTGTGTTTCAGCTCTTGAACACTGTCTAAGGGATCTTCGTAGGTGGATGTTAAGCTGTAAGTTGAAACTCAACGACAGCAAAACTGAATTTCTTATTATTGGAACACCTAGGCAAGTGTCAAAACTTAATATAAATTGTATAACAGTCGGAAATACTGTAGTCGAGCAGTCTATGGTTGCAAAAAACCTTGGTGTCTGGTTTGACTCTCAGTTGAACATGGAGACCCATATATCCAAAACATGCAAAGCAGCCTTCTATCATCTGTACAACCTACGTCACATTCGGAAATACCTAACTCGCACATGTATCATTACATTAGTCCATGCCTTTATAACAAGCAAATTGGACTACTGTAATGGACTACTGTTTGGCTTACCAGAATCTCAGATATGTAAATTACAACGTGTACAAAATGCATGTGCCAAACTCATCTGCAATTCCCCCAAATTCTCTCATGTAACCCCACTACTTCATGATCTGCACTGGCTTCTAGTTCGCCAGAGAATCAAATTCAAAATACTCCTCCTTACTTATAAGGCACTCCATGGCTTGGCCCCATTTATCTCAGTGAACTCCTGACGTTAAAATCACCCACCCAGTCCTACAGGCTCCGTAGTTCCCATGATACCATGCTCCTGAGTCTTCCACCTTGTAAAACAAAGGTTACTCTAGGTGACCGCGCCTTTGTTAGCGCTGCACCCAAACTCTGGAATAGTCTCCCTGCCACAATTAGACATGCATCATCAATCAATGTGTTTAAAAATAACCTGAAAACCTATCTGTTTCAGGAAAGTTTTACATAGACATTTTCATTGTAAAGCATACACAGGTTCCCCCTTAGCATCGATTTTAACTTTTAAATGTTTATTTGTATTGTTCCTTTTACTATGATTATGTCATGCGCAGTTGAGTATATACATATAGAAACTGCACATTATAAATTTACAATTATTATTATTAATTATTATTATATTATTGAATTGAAATGACCTGGTATTCATAAGAATCCTCATGGCAGCCCAGGGGCTGAATTGCATGAAGTTTACAAAGTAAAATGATGAAGAAAAAAATGTCTTGCAAATAATCATACAACAATATGAAGGAGAGAAATAAAGAGAGAGTGTGTGTATGTGAGAGAGAGAAGGAGAGAGAGAAGGAGAGGAGAGAGAGTGAGAGAGAGAGAGAGAGAGAGAGAGAAAGGAGAGATAAGAAGAGAGAGTGCGAGGGCAATCCAGGGGCTGGATTGCATGAAGATTACAAAGTAAAATGACGAGAAAAAAAATGTCTTGCAAATAATCATACAACAATATGAAGGAGAGAAACAGAGAGAGAGAGAGAGAGTGCGTGTATGTGAGAGAGAGAAGGAGAGGAGAGGAGAGGAGAGATAAGGAGAGAGAGTGCAAGAGAGAGATGACTGAAATAAAGAAAGGGAGAAACAAGACAGAAAGGAGAGACAGAAGAACGATATTGAGGCAGAGGTGTGACAGTCTAGAGGAAGAAGAGATTGTAAATTAAATAATAAATGAGTCTAAATAATCATCCGTTATGTCACTTGATACAGTTTTGATTACTGAATAACATATTATCATTATCATCCAGTCGAAACTGAATCTGGCTTGCGTTACCTGCTGTTGTTGACATCGATCAGGGAACCAAACTTGGTGGTAGCGAACGAGATGTGCTCATCACCCATCACGATCTCCAGCTCCTGCCGCCCCACGCGGTCAGGGGGCGGCCACAGAGCATCATCCTCCTGCATCACCTCGGAATCTTCAACGACGCGTTTCAGCTCATCGACCACGGCCTTGTGTACATAGGCCTGTCATGTTGGATGGTGTCACAAAGAACAAAAGGACAGGAATGATTTATTTCTTGAAAATAAGAACCATGCCCCCCCCCCCCCCTATGAGGTACATTTTGGTTGTTGTAAGGGTTATCTGTCATACTGGACAAGTATTTTCCCTTTTAAGGACACTGTTCTCCTTGGCTACTATTTGTTGTTGTTGGAAAATTGGAAAATTAAGAATAATCCTTGAAAATCAATGCTACACTTGTGATTTCTTGAAAAGGGAGAGATCCACAACATAACTATTAGAGGTTTTGTTCAACCCTTACAAGTGAATATAATTTTTTTTCTTTTAAAGACTAAAGACTCGGCAATTTCAATTTTTCACATCAATTTTTACTAAAACTGCATTGCATGGAAAATCTTAGAAATTGTTCTCTCTGAAATCCAAGGCATCCATGATCCACGGCCCCATAACAGCACTGAATCTAATGACCGGGGTAATAGTATATTTGTAAAGCGCTTAGAGACATTTGTATTAAGCGCTAAATAAAAGCTAAATATTACTATTTTATTATTACCTCTTTTCTGATCATGACATCATTCTTGTAGTTGGAGTTGTTGGCATAGCGAAGCTTTCCTGTGGAGTAAAAGGAATAGCATTCAATGTCAAAGCCATATTCTTCTTTTAAAACAGTGCGTCCCAGAAAAAACGAATCCGAGAAAAATTGAAGTTTAACTTAATCACAATTATAGGTAATAAATGACACATATTTGTAAAGCTTAGATCCTCCTCTTTCAGTTGATGCAACTCATATAATGCATATTCCACGCATGAGTGATTAAAAACAATTTGAAGAGAGGGTACCAATAAGTCATTTTTAGGGCGGTATCTGAATTTTGAAGGGAAAATCACATTTCTTGAAAGTTCATTTTCTGCCCTTTCATATGACACCTCAATCAGGAAAAGTGAGCCAGGAATAATTACAAAGTTCTGTTTGTTTAAAGTAATGCTTGCATTTCCATAATTTGATTAAACAAATTTGTTTTCACTGGATGCTTGCCGCAGCAGCAAACAGAGTTGACAAAAGACTGAACTCCCTTTCGTTTCATTAACATGCATGAGGTAAAATGACATTTGGGGGGATTTTCGGGGCATAAAAATATGGCCATAGATGACCATGGTGTTAGCAAGGGAATGCGTATAGTCGGCTTCCGTCTCTAAAGAGAGAGCCGACCCTACCCCAATAAGAGGCTTAACGAACGAAAGAGACAGAAAATTCGGTCTAGGCCTAGCCCTAGCTATCATTTCTTGTTCAAATCATGAAGCAAATATTATTATTATTTAAACAGAAAAAGAATCCCAGAAAAAAATCATGAATTGCCATGACAATATTCATTTCAATTTTCACTGTTTCGGAGTCAGTTATCAGCATAGCGAACCAGTTTTCGGCCACATGTACAAAGTCAATAGGAAGCACGCGCTCGCAAGCTGTGCGTCTCCGCGCTGATCCATAGTACTAGCGGGCGGAGCAGGTTTCCCACGCCGGAGCTCCCCGGAGCTCACCAGGCCGAAAACTAGTACTGTGGTGATCGGATATTGGAATCTGAATTAAACAGAGATATCCCGTGTGCGTTGCGGTGTGCAGCTGCATTGATTTAATACGTGCGGTAAGACACTTTTGAGCTTGCGACTAGCACAAAATCGGGCTCTTAATCTGAAAAATACCTGAAATAAAGCTCATTTTATGGTATCCATATTTCTTACAGACACGCGTAAGATACTTGATTTTTCAGATTCGGGTAGCGGGATCGCCGATTATATCGCTAAAATGTGATATTTTAGGATATATTTTTCATTGCAAATGTGGTTCTTCAGTGACTCTGGCATGGTATGGTATGTGTGGGATATGTGATATGCTATTATGCGATGTATTTTAAAGGGATTTTACCATGCATCCAACCAATCGGCCGAAAACTGAAGCTGGTCGATTACCCCCTCCTTTACTCTACGTACCGAACTCATCTATATTTTTGACAAAATGATAGTGAAACTAATCGTACATTTCGCGGCCCATGGAATAGCAACAAACTGACTTGTGGTGGCGCTTTACAGTGTGGTTCTTCAGTGACTCTGGCATGGTATGGTATGTGTGGGATATGTGATATGCTATTATGCGATGTATTTTAAAGGGATTTTACCATGCATCCAATCAATCGGCCGAAAACTGAAGCTGGTCGATTACCCCCTCCTTTACTCTACGTACCGAACTCGTCTATATTTTTGACAAAATGACAGTGAAACTAATCGTACATTTCGCGGCCCATGGAATAGCAACAAACTGACTTGTGGTGGCGCTTTACAGTATTAAAAAAGATACGACAAGTTCGGAGCAGTGACAACTCGCTTGTCGCGGAAGTTGTCACTCATCTTGGCAAAGACGGCTTTGTGAAACACTTAGCTGACAAGTTGCATGACAGTGATCTTGTAGTTGATCTTGTAGTTATGACGGTTTCGAGAAACGGCCCCCTGGTCGATTACCCCCTCCTTTACTCTAGCCAAAGTTGTTTTTGAAACGCGATCACAAATGACTAGACTAGGGTCCCTAATGACCGCATGAGGGCGATATTGCAAAATCACCCTCTGGCTGCATTGGACTCTTTGTCACCAGCGAACATGCTTTTGTGCAGTGTGTGCCAATACGAGGGGCGGATGAATTTCACTTTCTTTATTTGTGATTCACCTCTCATGAATATTTATAAGCACTTACCTTATTTGGAAAACTTTACAAAGCTTCTGACATCAGAATCACCGTCAACCCGATCTGTCTTTGTCTTCAAAATCACCTTTGAGCTCAGTAGTAAGAGCAATTTTGACCGTGTATGAGCGATTATTTGTGCTGTTTTTACGAAATGAACTATGAGACCGGTAGGGACCACCTTAAAGTGTGGTATTATCGGAAAGCTTATGTAATTTGTGATTGAATGTTGACAACTCCAGAGGCCCACAAGCTTTCAGCGATAGAACATACCAGTGCTAATGATACCCTTCCCGCCCCGGCCGGGTTCAATTTTGAGAGATTTCGCGTACGGAAGTGGGCAATTAGTGGCAGTGCCATTTTTGGCAAAAAAAAAATCTCTTTATTGATTAAATTTGTGATTTAGGGTAAGTTCTCAGTGAATTTGCTTTGCATATATGATGTATAAGATAAATCAGTATACATCTATCGCCATTACGGGAATTTTAATTGGAATTTTATTTTTTCATAGACTAATTATGACTAACTAGACCCTATGCAAATCAGGACTTTTAGTTTTAGTTTATCAATATAAGAATTCAGACAATGAGACATGACACTTGACATGCTTGACATGACAGAGGCTGAGGCTGTGAGGCAGGCATTTTGAAAACAGCCCAAAAGCCAGGTTATTCTTAAATTCATAGCCAGCCAGCCAGCCAGCCAGCCAGGGACCGCAGCGATATCGCTGCCTGCGCCTGGCCTGCCTAGCTGAACTTGTGAAGTCCGATTCCCCGCGATAACTATATTGTTGCCCCACTAATTACAATTCGTGTTTGTATTTCGACAATATTGTCACACCACGTTGACAAACTTCATCATTAAAATTTACTGCAATCTACCTCATTATAAAAAATGTACCGAATACAATCTTAGTAAGATACTATGCCTCACCATCTGGTCGAAATTCAAATTCAAGAAATTCATGGCCAAATTTCCCTTTGTGTCCCACGTAGTATCGAAGATAAAATTCGCTCGATGCCATGTTGCCCGCTTTCTTTCTCACACAATTATATAGCGACCTCTAACGTTATTATCTGAAATGAAATTCGTCCTTTAGTGTGTGTGTGTGTATTGGGTTTTTACAGACGTGTATCAATCAGATATGATTATTTACGTCTGGGACCGACCTTTAAACGTCACCATCCGAAAGACGTGACTCAGTTTCGAACCTGCGTCCTCGGCTGAATCAGTTTGTAACTTCCACTTTTTAGCTGGATTACAGGCGCACGCCACAACGCCTAGTTTCGATCCTCGCGCCTCATCTCCCCCCCCCCCCCCCCGCCGGCGTTATTTTAATAGATTGGGGTTAGGTGCGTGTTGAGCCTATGGGAAAGTTTAGGGTTAGGGTCAGGGTTAGGGTTAAATCAAGACCTCTTTTTAAAAAAAAGAAGCCCCAATCTGTGCCGCAGAAAAAAAAAATGACGCCCCCCCCCCCCCCCGCCGCGCCCCCGTCCTCATTTGGAAAAGAAAAGGGTGAGGAAGTACCGGACGAGGGCGATGTATAGGGATTATCATTGTTTGAAACTGAAATGAATTTCCCTTCAACCATAGGGAAAGGAGGGGGTATGAACAGATTTCAAGACGTTCTTGAATGCGGGGCACTGAAAGCACGGAGACAGAGGCCCTCGATTCCCCTCTCCCCCTCTCCTAGCCCCTCCCCCTAAAAAGTGGCGCACCAATGTTAATACAAAATTTAACTGTCCATCTCCCCCGTCCCCGTCCCCCCCCCCCCCCCTCTCAAAAAATGCTCCCTTATATACCATACAGCGTGTAACAACTGCCTGAGGACAAGTCCACTCCAAAAATAACTTACTTTCAATGGAAGCAGAAAAATCAGACAAACCAATCAAAAAAAGTTTGAGCGAAATAACTAATAAGAAAGTTATGAATTTTTGAAAAAGTGTGGCTATGGAACAATGAAAATCACAAGACAAATTGGCGGGGAACTCACTCATCAGTCGGACGTCATGTCCTCACTATCTACTAATTATTTTCTATATCTTAATAATATAATTTTTCTATTTCCCCCTATATATGAATCTTATTTCTTCACACCAGCTTCCAAGTTAGATTGATAGTAATATGTTTTTGTGTGGATGCACTAATTAAGAGTAATTTTTTCCTAGTTAAATCATGAAAAATGTGAATTTTGATAAACTATTCATATAATAATCAATAGTTATGAATAAACAATATTCAGAAAAAAGTATCAATTCTCCAAAGTTCATAAAAGATTTTGTGAAATGTCATGCACGCAATCTGATTCAAATCATATAACCTGGGCAAAGGAAAGGGGGAATCAAGTTGGGGGATAAAAAGGGAAATTAATGGGATTAAACTATATAAAAGAATTTACAAATAGTGAGGACAGGACGTCACAAACTGATGACCAAATCGTCAATTTGTGTAGGGATTTTCATTGTTGCATAGTTTTACATACTTTTTCAAAAATTCATAACTTTCTTATTAGTTATCCGATTTTGCTCAAAACCTTTGATTGGTTTGTCTTGGATTTTCTGCTTCTATTGAAAGTAAGTTATTTTTGGAGTGGACTTGTACTTTAATTTGCTTTGAATAGCTTGTAGCTGGTCCCAAGTTTTGGAAAACGCTTGATTCCAATTTATGTACTGACTCGCTCTATAAACGCAAACTGAAATTACGTTGATTAAGTAATTATGCTGAAAATATTTAATGTAAAAGCTATGTCACATGATAAAGTATGTAATTACTCCAGGCTGGCCCTGATCTTACCTTACCAACATCATTCTTCATTATTTTATTAGCAAACTCGCTTTGTTCTGTTTTGCTCTATTGTACTTTTTCTTCTCTCTCTCTCTCTCTCTCTCTCCCCCTCTCTCTCTCACTATCTCTCTCTCTCTCTCTCTTCTATTTCTTCCCCAGCACCATTTCCCCATAATATATATAACTTTCTTCTTTCTCAACTTTTCTCTCTTGTTGCTTTGTTCCGTTTTGCGCTTTCGCTCTCCATCTTTTTGTAATAATCTTCACATCTTCTCTTATTCATGAACACATCAATCTATCTCTTTTGTAAATGGTTCCCATGTGTAATTGTTTCTAGTCTGATAAGGTAGTTTAGTTGTTAATTTTTTTTTCTTCAAAGTAATTAAAGCATTCAGGTATTATGTTTAGGAACCTTGCTCTAACAAGCCCTGCTCGCCCTGCCAGCTTAAGGTCTCCTCTTTCTTTCATGTACAGAACATGATCTTACATGAGTAACTTTTTATAAAATTTCTTTAGTTAATAACAAGAGTTGAATGTCGAAATTTGTTGCAAATACATGTAATAACGCATCATGATTATTTCACTATGTTCTGATTTCTACATTGTGCCTCGCCTGCTCACAATATCAACTCCACATTGTAGTGTTTCTACCGTTAGATGGCGCTAGACCTCTAACTACGACATGTGGCCGTGGGCGATGGGTTTTGTATCTTGCGCAATAAATGCCCACATCAATAAACATGTCTTGCATTTGTGTCGCGCGCTAGCTAAAGCTCGCCATACGACTCCGCCGAAACTAGGCCGTGCGATGATCACATGGCTTGCGGTGTTCCATTCTCCGTAAGAAGGCTGTTTGCAAGGGAGCCTAGATCATTGTTTACGGATAATTTATTGGGCACAAAACTTGACAATGAGGTCAAACAAAAAGCGTAAGAAATCAAAGAAACCAGTTACAGTGATGAACACCAACGAGAAGAATAGTAGGTGAGCAGAAATTTAGAAAATATTCAAATTGAGTCGGTGAGATATGAGACCAAGGAGGAAGGGCGTGCATGAGATTGAGTGTGAGACTGAGAGGCTTGAGTGTCAATTCACAATTTATGAGATACAAACTTAGACTTAGTTCCCAATTTCCCATGTAGACAAAAGAATATCGTCTGCTTGGAGGAGTTTTTGAAGATACTTTGTCTGTTGATGGTCTCCAACTCCAAGGAGAGGGATTTGCAGTGCGTAATCTAATCTTAGTTGCATGAAGTTGCATGAAGTAGCATTTAACGAGGAAGAGAAGAAGAGATAACATTAGGGATTTTTAGTTTTAGATTTGCCCGACGGCATAGTGGACTGGTACGTGTGACGTCCTTTTCAGGCACTGTCAGTTTAAGGCACTGTCAGTGCAGTGCCTTATTAAAAAGGACGTCACATGTAGCAGTCCAAGCAAATCTAAAAGTAGGCAATAACGCACGGCCCAGCTTGCGTTACTAGTGTTGATCCACGCTAGGTTTCTTTAGATTGGTGCCGCCTCCGTGCACGAGCCGCTTGCAGCGAGTTCACAGTGCGCACCATCTGAAGAAACCGAGTGTCCTGCATTTACATTACGCACAACAGGGTCAAGTGCGTTATTTGTTTCATAAAATAGCGTCACATGAAAATCAAAACAAACAAAGTTTAGAATTAGAGTCTACGAGAGTTAGACTTAGATAAGATAAGACCTTGCAGGCTTGCTACTATACTTACCAAAAAGTCCATGGGATGTCGGGATTCCACTTGCCTCGAGTAAACATAAAATCCATACATCAGACAGCTGAAATTTCTGGCTTCATTACAAAATCCAAGGCAAAAGTAAATGATTCGTTTTCCGGAGTGTTGGCTCAGTCAGTAGAGCGTACGCCTCACAACTAGGAGGTTGTGGGTTCAAACCCCGGCCGCGTCATACCAACAGACGTTAAAAGATGGGAGTTGTTGCTACCTTGTTTGGCGTTCAACAATAAGGGATAGAGCAACGTAGATCTGGCGCTGCTCAGTGGCTGCCGGGCCCACGATCAAATGGGCAAAAAGAATTTCCGTTTCGGTTTAATAAAATTTGGAGTGGACTATTAGGCTATTATTATTATTATTATTATTAATAATACCCCGCTCAAGCTTGCTAACTATGCGTACGCTGCGCTGGATGCAGCGTGCAATCTGGATATCAATCATTTAGCGTGCAATATGACTTTTGACAGTGCTTTTTTGGCATGATTGTGCATGCATCAAAAATAAGTGCATGTCAGGTGACGCGTTTTGACCAATCATGATGCTTAAAATACTAGAGCTATTTTAAAATCCCCAATAACAGCTAAGTGAAGCAAGGGCCAGAAGTAGTCTCGGCGGAGTTGGCGGAACATATTCCCAAACGAAATATTGAAAATGAAATGCATGTTTATGTAGATTGATTTTTCGGTCTTTATTTTTTCACTGAGTACTGCAGACCGGGCGGCGTTTCATATATGTCATGATACAGGATGTTAAACAGATACTTGTAAGTTACAACAAACAACTAACAAGTCTAATTCAGACTATTATTTAAGGTGAACGAAATCTAGAAGAACAACCTTGTAACCTCTGTTTGCATTTTGTTTTAATAGCGACCCTTATCAATATCATACTCATGAATTGATTTGACATAAGTTGAATTGTATTGAAAGATTTTGCTGATGGTTTAACTTTTATGTGTGTGTGTGTGTATTGGGTTTTTACAGACGTGTATCAATCAGATATGATTATTTACGTCTGGGACCGACCTTTAAACGTCACCATCCGAAAGACGCGACTCAGTTTCGAACCTGCGTCCTCGGCTGAATCAGTTTGTAACTTCCACTTTTTAGCTGGATTACAGGCGCACGCCACAACGCCTAGTTTTATGCTCATGATTTTCTGGCCTTACATTCCATTATAATGTATTTAATGTATTTATAATGTATTTATTTCATTAAAAAAAATTCATCAGCATTCTCGGCTCCAAGGTCAGCAAGAGGAAGGTCATATCAAGGTTACACACCATCATGAAGGACATCGACAAGGTCAAACAAGAACCCACTGTCTCTCAGGAAGAAAAGAAGATGAAGGTTCAGCAGTTGGAACTCGAGATAGAAGAGGTACAGTTTTGGGCGCTAGTTCAGAAGTATATCCAGACGTTGACCCGTAACTCCGGCGTGGAGATACCCTACTAAAACATACCCAAAATGAAGTAGATATTCATCATATGTCCAAATAAAGGTCATGATTTAAAAGTCGTTATGTTTCTTACCTGTTTTGTGTCAATTTTCTTGTTGTTTTTTGGAGTATTTTTCGGAAACATAACAACTTTTAAATCATGACCTTTATTTGGACATATGATGAATATTTACTTCATTTTGGGTATATTTTAAGTAGGGTATCTCCATGCCGGAGTTACGGGTCAAAGTCTGGATATACTTCTGAACTAGCGCCCAAAACTGTACCTCTTCTATCTCGAGTTCCAAACAGGATTTTTTTTTTTTTTTGCAGGGGAGGGGGGGGGGGGGGGGGGTCACAAAATCTCATGGAGATTCATAGTTCCATTGAGGTAGCTAGGATCGAGTATATTAGGGGTAGGGTTAAGGTCTTTACCCTAATTAAGTAGCATCAATGAACTTCTTTTAACTGGATGAACAGGGGGAGGGGCCCCTTTTCCTACTTTGGATATGCCTTTTCCTACTCTGGATACGCCTTTAAAAGCTCGTTCAGATCCCGGGTTCAGATATGACCCGGCAAAACCTCTGCAGTTTTCTTATGATGAAGTCGAGTGTAATACGCTTAATATTCTGTATCTTGGATCACAGAGCTCAGTTAATATATGCAAGTCCTTTGTTGCATGCATTTGCCTTTCGTTTACGTTAAAAAAAACTGCAGCGTCTTTTTTGTTGTTGCAGTTCCCCACGCCATATCTGAACTAGCCTTTAGGGCTCAAACCAGGAGGGCGTTTCACGAAGCCTTTTTTCAATGACAAATGACAAAAATCAGTGACAACTCTGCTGATAACCAATCAGAAGCAAGGATTTCAGTAGCTTATAACAAAAACTGTCATTTATCACTGATGACAAGTTTTGTGAAACGCCCCCCAGGACGCCACGCTCACTTTTACACTGGTTATTTATTCCCTTGGTAGCAATGAATCCTTAGACTAATGCTTATTTCCCAGTCAATACAAAACTAGACAAAAAAAGGTCTTTTATCCCAAATAGCCAAGAATTACTTTCTTTAGAGTCGGTGTAGAGTTGATTTTGTTTTGTGACTGAGGAATAAGGCCTAAAATAAAAACTTGTTGTATTGCCCTTTGGGTGCCAAAACATGGGTCGGTCGGTGAGATTAAAACAAAAAAAAATTAAAACTTTTTTTTTGTCACCCTCTTTGGGCCGTTTTTTCCCAGATTTAAATGTTTTGAGTTTTTTTCCGTTTTTTTCTGCCCTCTTTTGGCTGATATTTCTCAGTTTTTAATGCTTTAATACAAGTGTTTGAGCGTCATATTTTTTTTAAATGCCGACCTTAGATTTTCAGATTTTTGGGTCGGTCGCAAAGAGCAATACAACAAGCTTTATTTTAGGCCTAATATCAAAGATAAATATCTGTTTTTTTTTTCCTGCAGCTAGGGGGACTGAATGCCTACCAGCAAAGTTCCCTCCTCGGTGAGCATCTCCATGGCAACATAAACACATCAAAATGGGTGCTGCAAAAACTCAAGGAATCCAATGTCAGAGCCACACAGGTAACTTCAATAAGAGATCACTTGACCCACATTGCAGAGACAGAGGTCGAGATGAATGAATTGCCATTTTTTGTGTTCAATCTGAGCACTGCATGACCATGGAAATACAGTCAGACCTGCTTTTAAAGTGACTACGGAGACCACTCTCTTGTTGTTGGTTTCCCTTGAATAGGGACTTTCGTTAAAATATGAATTAAAAGGACCTGTACGTTAAAGATGATTTATAGAATACAGCATGGACAAAATAATAGTTTTATATGATTAGGAAGAAATCAGTTTGCATATTTATAATTCTAGTAAGTAAGTGGGCACCAGGTCATTTCGGTAAAATGACTGTTCTACTGATTGCAAGATTATGATGAACCACTGGAATTCTTTTTGGGAATGGGGGAGGAGAGGGGTTGATGCCTATAGGACAGTAGGGGTCAAAGCTCAATCTGTTTAATACACATGTACAATGTTTCTCTTCAGGGATCCAAGCTGTGTCTCCTGGATGTTGGAGCCCTGCAACTGAACTACACCAAACACACCAAGTGGTTGGATGCAGCGGCCATAGACCTCAATCCACAGTGTGAAGGCATCATCCAGTCAGACTTTTTCGAGTTCAAGGTATAAACTTATACAGGTACATCAGGGCATTGGGCCAAATAAAAAACAAAACATGTTTAGCGTCCTGTTTTTTGGAAAAATAGGAAGGAGGAGGCCCTTTTTTTTTCTTTCAAAATGGCCGCTCGGTACATTTTCCCTGAAAGTCGGGCTATTTTTCAAGATGGCCGCCGACATTTTTTTAAATTTTTTTTTTTAAAATCAGAAATAGATCCATTTTAGCAGTGTTTTTCATGTTGTTTTTTTCTTTAAAAAAAAAAAAAATAAAATAAATAAATAAAAAAATAAAAAAATAAAAAAAAATAGGAGGCGGGCGGGGACGCTAAACATGTATATTTTGTTTTAATGGCCTTATTCCCAATGGCTAGAAATCCCTTGGATTGGGGTCAGGGTTGGAATCATCGGCATTGTGACCGAGGTTATGATTTGAATCCTTTTATAGAAAGGGTTGTGACATGGATGTCCACATTTTTGAAACAAACTGGCATTCAAATTCTCTCTGTTTAGAACATTCAGGCGCCCTTTGCTCTTGAAAAAAAATGTTGCATAATAGCGGGGAAAATGGTGTTCAAATCATGGGTTGTCTGTCATGTTGTTGCTAACCTCTGTGTTCTAGTAGTGACATCCTACAGCAGCAATGACCAAGTGAAAACCCTGGGAAGGTTCTACAACACAGGATCCGGTGGCAATTATTAAAGCCACTATCAAGTTCTTGCACTGTTAAAATTCTGAACTTAATCCCTTGACCGAACACAATGCGTGTACCTATCCCGTAACCTAAAGTGAAGCCCATTTGCAATCATATCTTTGACATAATACATCAAAGCCTGGAGGAAATGTTGCATTACCCGTGCATGTCTACAATAAAGTCAGCTCGACGGATAACTTCAATGACTTAGACTAAAAGTGTCACTATTATGTTCCAGAAAATATAAGAAGATATTCCAGCACAGCAACAAATCTACAGGGTGAGGGGGTAGAGAATGTAAAGAATTAGTGGAGGAGTCTGGGGGCTGGTGGGATGTTGGGGGGGGGGGGGGGGTAGAGAATGAAAACATAATAGTGCCCTCTGTAACAGTTGGCCTTGTTAATACTGATTTAATTCATCTAGAAAGACCTTGTATTATTATTGTTGTATCTAAATGATGTAAATTTCATTTTTGTAAATGTCCCAAAATTGTTGAGTGTTGAACTTTGATTGGTTTCAGGTTGGCGAGTCCGATGCCTATGATATTATTGTCCTGAGTTTGGTCCTCAACTTCGTGAGTTCTCCATCTCAGAGGGGTGAGATGTTGAAACGATGTCAGAAACTCTGCAAGCAGGATGGACACATCTTTGTAAGTTTCGTCATCTACAGGTGTCGTTGTCGAACTTGGCACGAAATACAATTTTGCCGTGGGTTTTATCCCCTGGCATGGCACGAATGTCATATTATGACATATTCTCTTTCACCAGAGCAATTCTACAAATTAGTTGACAAACATGGCTCGGCTGTTGTGTAAAAAAAAATGCACTACCAGGTGAAGGGATGCCCGTTTTCAGACTTGTGCCCATTTTCAGGCTCTGTTGCCTCTTAACGAATCAGGAATATAGGACAATTATATCATATCCAAATTGCTAAATTCAAATTTTGTTTTAATTGACAAATCATATTTCTATTTTCCTAGTAAAGTGCGCCCACTTAAATATAAATGACCTTTCACACGTCACTTTCATCTGCAGGTCGTTCTGCCTCGCGCGTGTCTAGACAACTCACGCTACTTGGACCACGCCCTCTTTCAACGGATGATGGACAGTTTGAACTTTGACCTGGTGGCCCAGCATGACAGCAAGAAGCTCAGTTATAAGATGTTCAGGAAGGCCGAGAGGAGGAGAGGCAGCGGAGAGGGGAAGGCTAGTTTCAACAAGCGTGAAGTCAAAAACGGAAAGCAGTGCAACAACTTCTGCATATTGATGAGATGAGAACTCTTCCTGTAACTCTATAGAACTTTGAACATGATCAGGCTTAGTTTATTTTGACGGCCTTAATTGTCCATCATCAATTGAATTATGCGAACGTTGTTTTTACAGCAAGGTGTAAAGATGTACATAATCTGAACACGATTTCTATGAGATTTAAAATCCTGTATTGAAATTGACCTCCAGTTGATTTTTCCAGCCTTTTGTGTGATCTTGTTTTTTATGTTCGTATATTCATGAAGATTACCATATTTTCTTTTTCCCCAGTGTTTGTTCGGCAAATCGCCAATGATATTAGGGACACATTAGACCTAGATGTATGTGCATGGTTTCACCATTAAATGGACCCTGGATCAATGTATATGTTGTATAAAAAAGATGTTAATAAAAGAGATTTAGGATTAAAGTGACTTGGTAACATTGTTGAAGGTTGATGAAAAAATTGCTTAAATTTTGTATAAAATGTTACTTACTATATTCCTTCTACTGTACTATCCCTTTGACATGCAAGAAATCCTGAAAAAATTCTCAGACCACTAAGATATCTATGGTTTTCTTTGAAGGCGACAATATATGCCACCCTCTAACAGTGATTAACAGTAAATTCTCCCAACCATTTTTGAATTTTCCTAACCGTTTTTCCATGAAAAAAAAAGGACATAAAACAGGCTTTAAAAATCTGTCAACACTTAAATGTCTGGAACGGAATGTGGAGCCATTTTATTGCTTTGTGACGATTTACATTCACCTAAAATGTAATTAAATTGTAATAATATAGTTGGAAGAGTTCAGGAATCGATCAGATCAGTTTTTCCCAATTTTTACCATGAATAATGGTCCGTTTTCACTCAAATTTTCAGATTATCGTTAATTGTACATCGAGCATTGAGGTCACTACCTTAGCACCACTATCTCTCATCTGAACAATGTAACCAAGTCCGTTTAATCAGATGAAATATGTACATAATCGTGTAATTGTCAATAAAGCAACGGGCCTACCACACTCATAGTCTGATAAAGAATAAAGTTTCTATTTTATTCCATGAAAAAAGTTTCGGTATACAAAATTACAATTCATCACAATAATTGTTGTTTCTACATTATAAACATACACGAATTGACCATGATCATTTTTTTCTCTTCAACTTAATCACAATATTTACAGAAAACCACAATCTGGAATACATTCTATACAGTAGTACTGAATCATTTATGCATCTGCAATTTAAAAAGGATCATCAGAACTGGCTGTGATTTTTCAATAAATCTCAAGTTTCACTGTAGCGAGGCCCCACCCCCCAAAATAAAATGTTAAATAGAACTTGTGTTTAACGTCGAAATTCCAACAAGATGGTGTTAGGGTATATTGCTATGCAACATCAAAATTAAGGCTAAATATTTTTTCTTTAAAGGGGAAGTCCACCCTGATTTAAGTTGGTTTTAATAGAAGCCAAAAAACAAGAGGAACAAGCCAAATTAGCAACTCTGTGATATATCTTGCGAGGTCTCCTCCCACTTGCTCTGTACTGAAAAAAAAGTTTTCACTTTCCTACATTTAATTGGAAATGGCTCAAACTTGCACTAATTTGTTTATCTCGTCTTTCTGCTTTTAATAAAACCAGGGTGCACTTCCCTTTTAAATATAAAAGGTAAATAGAGGTAAAGATATCAACTTTTCTTTTTTATACATGTATTTCTGAGTTTCTCAAGATTCCTTCCAATTCACACTTATCTTTCTCATATCTGTAAAGCGCTTAGGCACATCGTTGGATCGGTGTATTGAGCGCTATATAAAAAAACGGATCATTATTATTATTATTAAAGCAAAGATTGTCTAAATTCACACACTTTAAAATGCGATTGAATACGAGTTAAGTAAATTTCTTAGCTTAGACATTTACTTAGTAAATTTCTTACTTATGCCAAGTATTGAATTGAATACCGGCCCTGCAAGTCTTGGTCTTCTTCACAGGCCATTATTATTATTAAAGCAAAGATTGTCTAGATTCACACACTTTAAAATGCGATTTGAATACGAGTTAAGTTAATTTCTTAGCTTAGACATTTACTTAGTAAATTTCTTACTTATGCCAAGTATTGAATTGAATACCGGCCCTGCAAGTCTTGGTCTTCTTCACAGGCCATTATTATTATTAAAGCAAAGATTGTCTAGATTCACACACTTTAAAATGCGATTTGAATACGAGTTAAGTTAATTTCTTAGCTTAGACATTTACTTAGTAAATTTCTTACTTATGCCAAGTATTGAATTGAATACCGGCCCTGCAAGTCTTGGTCTTCTTCACAGGCCATTATTATTATTAAAGCAAAGATTGTCTAGATTCACACACTTTAAAATGCGATTTGAATACGAGTTAAGTTAATTTCTTAGCTAGATTCACACACTAGATTCACACACTTTAAAATGCGATTTGAATACGAGTTAAGTTAATTTCTTAGCTTAGACATTTACTTAGTAAATTTCTTACTTATGCCAAGTATTGAATTGAATACCGGCCCTGCAAGTCTTGGTCTTCTTCACAGGCCATTATTATTATTAAAGCAAAGATTGTCTAGATTCACACACTTTAAAATGCGATTTGAATACGAGTTAAGTTAATTTCTTAGCTTAGACATTTACTTAGTAAATTTCTTACTTATGCCAAGTATTGAATTGAATACCGGCCCTGCAAGTCTTGGTCTTCTTCACAGGCCATTATTATTATTAAAGCAAAGATTGTCTAGATTCACACACTTTAAAATGCGATTTGAATACGAGTTAAGTTAATTTCTTAGCTTAGACATTTACTTAGTAAATTTCTTACTTTAATATGCCAAGTAATGAATTGAATACCGGCCCTGCAAGTCCTGGTCTTCTTCACAGGCCATCTTCAGGTTTAATTGGCCCATCCTCCGTCTACTTTGATTTCGGACCCGGTGATGAAGCTGGACTGTAGGGATCAATCAAGGATTAGGATTAGGATTAAGATTAGGAAATGCACATCAAATAATATCTAACATGCATAAACAAGTGATTATAATTCTGGTCGCTTTCTTCGACTCTCTCCACGGTCACTGGTTCACCACACATGCAGGTTTGCACAAAACAGTTGGGACCAGCTTACAGAAGGATTGCTGTGGCAAACACAATAGAATGGTGAAGTGTGACGTCATCAAATCCATTTTCAGAATTTCTTCATTTTTTCTTCATTTTCCGAAAGAGCATCAAATTAATGTCCAAATGTCGAAAACCAATTGAATATGTTAAGTGTCGGCTGAGATATGACCATCTGAATAAATGAGCCAGAGCATATAACACTGAGTTCCTATAGGAAATCTATTCATTCAAAATGAAGAAAAAAATTGAGAAATTCTAAAAATAGATTTGTATGACGTCACAGCTTAGGTACTCTATGGCTTTGCAGAATTTCCCATTTCTGCACTAGCTGGAAAACAATCTTGAAGCCCTTTGTTATACCTAGGCCATGATGAATAAAATAGGGTGGCATAGGGAGATGATTTTGGTGGCAGATAAGCAGTGTTTTTTTTTGTAGTATGTTTTTATTGAAAGCCCCAAAACAGACAAATGTAGACATATAAGGAGTTACATGTACACTAGACTGCAGGGATAAGAGATACATACATGAGCAAAGATCAGTGATTTTACTGGACTACATCAAAGACGACAATATAACATCCACAAATAGTCACAATTAATATTCCATCCAACGATCTGTATATAGATCTACATGTAAGCCTACATGTAGTTTCAATAACGTATCAAATAATTGAATATAAAAAGCTTCAACAATCTCTATATAAGCCTAGTTTCAATAATGTATCAAATAATTGAATATAAAAAGCTTTTTACTAAAAAAAGGCAAGATGAGTACTTCAGGCCGAAGACCTGTTTACTAATATATCCAAATTGTACGCATACTTTTAGAAGAAGAAAGGTTGTTCTTGTCAACCCAAGGGCTTGCCCGACAAAGCAACAGATAATGTATGCAGCCTGGATTCCAAGTATTGTAGTTAACTCATTGATAACTGGTTAATGGAATACTGCCTCCTTATTCGGTCCCCAGGAAAGAAACATCCATACATTTGGAAACGCTTGTAAACGGGCCTATTCTCATATGCAGCCGTATGTCTTTGAAAATGTAAACATTGTCCACCCACCCCCCCCCCCCCTAAAAAAAAATAAATAAATAAATAAATAAAATATAACAGAGCAGAGCAGCAAAAGAAAAATATGATATAAGCATAGCGTGGTTTTAACTCCTGGATTTTTAATACCCATCAATGAATATTCCCCAAATATTGTGACTTTGTGACTTTGTGGTTAAAGGAAGAGATCAAGCATGTTTACCTCATCAGATGCGAGAAAGACTACTGTATTGGCGACTTCCTCAGGAGTACCAAGTCTACCCGAGGGCTGACGGGCAAGGAATGACTTCATGGCCTAGATGAGACAGATGGAAAGAGAAAGAGAGAGTTGGAGAAATACAAAGAGAGAGATGGAGAGAGAGTGGGGAGATGGAGAGAAAGAAAGAGAGGGAGAGAGAGAGGGAGGGACAGAAGAGCGACAGAAGAGAAACATAAAAAGAGTTGGGAGGGAGAAAGGGAGTGAAAGAGAGGATGAGAGCAAGCAAGAGAGAGGTTGGGAGATATAGAGTAAAGAGAAGAGGACAGAGAAGCGTGGGTGTGTTTGTGTGAGATAGAGAGATGTAGAGATAGAGAGGGTGGGAGAGAGCATGTAAGAAAGAGAAAAAGAGGGTAGGAGAGATAGACGGAGAGGGAGCGGGAGGAGAAGGGAGAGATTATCAATATTACAAATTGGGTACTATCTCAACAACTAGAAGAGTCGTCATGCCACTGCCATTAGGGACTTTTGGATTCCCACAAAGACAATGGGGATTGCTACGATCGACGTCCTTTTAATGCACTGCCTTGAATGGACGTCACACGTATCAGTCCACGCAAATCTAAAAGTCCCTAACAGACATATAGAACACAAACTTAAGTGACTCTTAATCGATTACAATACTTCATTTCACTGTCTACTCCTCGTAGCAGAAAACATATCCCTAAAGTCTTGTTCACATATGCCCATAGTAAGCTGCCATGGTTTTTCAAGGCGAGGGAGGGAGGGGGAAGAGGCGAGGGAGGGAGGGGGAAGGGGCGAGGGGGAAGGGGTTGTCATCTTTAATATTTCAAATGTTCATGCTGATCAAACAGCCGGACTTCATATTTTTTGTAGAACATCATACATAGACGAAAGGATTCTAGGACACCTACCCCCTGGACATCGACCCACCCCCCGGATAACCACCACCAATCAACTACCCCCTATAGGGCAACCACCCTCTAGGACAACTACCCCCTCGGACAACTACCTCCTAGGACAACTACCGCCTAGGGCAACCACCCTCTAGGACAACTACCCCCCAGTAAACTACCCCCTAAGGCAATTAAATGTTTCTGATATCGATAGACTTCAACAAATCCAGAATCGTGCAGCCCGTATTATTTCAAATGCAAGAAAATATGATCATGTGTCTCCCTTGTTAAAACAACTACACTGGTTACCTGTTCATAAAAGAATAATGTATAAAGTTTCACTATTTGTTTATAAATCCATGTATAACCTTATCCCATCCTATATTTCTAGTCTGTTTTGTCCCATCCAGCAATCAAGATATCCATTACGTTCAAGGTCAGACCCCCTTCTTCTGCAAATCCCCCGCATCAATTCAAAGAAGGGTCAACAAAATATAATTTTTTCTGGTCCCACTATTTGGAATAGTCTCCCTTTAAGCATTCATTCTTGCACCTCAGTCGCATTATTTAAGAAACATTTAAAAACTCATTTGTTTTCTTTGTAATTGTCATTTTTTTTAGAGTGTAATGCACTTGGAGAGTATATAACTATTATGTTTGTATTTTAAAATGTAAAGCGCCTTGAGCATGTTCATGTAAAGGCGCTCAATAAATACCAATATGTATGTATGTATGTATGTACAATTACCCCTTAGGACAACTACCCCCCGGAAAACTATCCCAGGGGGTGGTTGTCTGGGGGGTAGTTGTCCAGGGGATAGTTGTCGCGGGGGTAGTCATCCTTGAGGGTGGTTGCCCTAGGATGTAGTTGTCCTAGGGGGTAGTTGACTGGGGGTGGTTTTCCAGGGGAAGGTGTCCGGATACGAGACAAAAAGTTAAAGATAAAATTAGAATATCACCTGTCATTACTGTTGTTGTGACATATGCTAATAAATTTTCATGCATTTTTACTAGACTCTGACAGGCATAATTCGTCCCTGTTTTCACGAAGTGACGGTAGTGAGGAAAATCGTAACGCAAAGTGTATGCGATTTTCATTTACTACCGTCACTTCGTGAAAATAGGGACGAATTGTATCTTGATTTGATTTGATTTGATTTGATTTGATCACAATACCTGCTCCTTATCCCCCGTAGCTTCCATTCTCTGATGAAGGGAGGGTGTATCTATGGTCCCGGGACAGATGGCGTTACATCGGATCCCCTTGGAGACAAAGTCTCCAGCCACTGCCTTGGTGAAACCTATCACCGCTGCCTTGGTTGTTGAATACAAGCACCTGTTGGGAGGACCTGGGGGGTGTTTCACAAAGATCCTACGTCAAACTTAACTCTAAGTTGGACTTAAAGGTATTACCAATTTTTGGTATGGGGTCATCAATTAGGTTCAAATGAACACATTGGAAGCATATGCGATTTTACAATATTCAATGACCGTTGTCGCGGTTGAAATCGAGTCTAAAGTGATGAAATCGTAGATAGTAAACTCTTTATGTTGTATAGCGCCCTCTCAAGACTGATATTACTTTAGCTCTTAAACAATGTTTCTTGACTACGACGGACCGATTTGCTACTACCGTTTGGAAATTTTATATCAGAACTGCATATTCTGAGATTTTCATGGTCGCAGCTACCATGGAATGGCCTTACGCGCTATTTGAAATATTTGAAATTACCGGGAGCACTGGTAAATTTTTTATCGTTCAAGTTCTCGAAAGCAGAAGTGTTTTAGGGGCTAAAATTTCTTGTGCTTATAATACATGTACACCCACAGAGGCATCCAAATATATCAAAATTGTAAAGAATTACTATCAATCCAATTTTCGAAATTTCCCAAAACTCTGCATTACACAAAGATAATTTTTCTCTCAGAAACATTTGTCCTACTAAATAAGTAAGTTGCTTCTTATTCCTCTACAGATATATATCATTTTGATTCAATTACAGTTTTCTGATGAAAGTATTGAGGTTTAGTTGACCTCCATTTTTTGGCCATCATTTTAACGAGGTACCTTTTATACTTGATGCCACAGAAGACATGTTGATAATACTGCCACTATTCTGTTCCAACATCTGGGGAGAATAAAAAGACGATCATGGATTAAATAGTATTAAATGGATAAATCTGTAACATTGCCATCACTGCCAGGGGTAGGTCAAGTTTCAGATCGTGTGGTTTGGTGGAGTGTGTCCAGGCTTCGGTGGCCCTTGACAGGAAGTTTTTGGTCTTGGCAGCTAGGGGGACTCCCGTTATAATAAACAGTCTTCTATTTTTGTTTCTCTCTGTGGCTTCATATCACGCATTATATTATGTTTATTGATATAAATATATCTTGTATTTCTTGTCACTTTTTATTTTTTATTTTTTATATGCATCTTTTTTTTTGTTATGTACCAATCATTATTGATGACCTGTAAATATTGTGAAATTATTTTTGATTAAATAAAACTAAAAAAAAAAAGAAAAAAAAGAGAAAAAGTTTCTCATTGTATTTGCATCGTTTATGAATGATTTCCGGAGGGTTGAATACTTGAATGGGTAAAAGTAAAAGTGTGTCGAGTTTGCACGTTGGATCATGTGTTAATTGTGGAATAATAATGATAACATTATTTCAGTGTTAAAAAGCACTTCTGAAGGCTGAACTAACTCGCTTTAACCATTTCCATATAATTAATTGCCTTTGATATCCATGTACTCACCTTAGGCAAGACAGCTTTTGCGAGGAAGAACATGGATTTGACGTTCAAGTTGAAAGAAAAGTCAAAGTCTTTTTCCTCCGTGTCCAGAACTGTGCCATTGAAGACAAATCTACAAAGAGTTGCCAGAAAGGAAATGAAAATTAAAAGTATTAAAAATATAAATGTTATCAGCCTGATAATTCTGAGTCCTAGCTTGTATTAAACACATACAGCATAAAATACAGCAGATATCCTACTTGCTTTCACAAAAGAATTATAGGGAAAAAACTGTAAAAATGTGTGTCTAATCTATTTATAACAAATGTATGTAAAACTGAATATATATATATATATATATATATATAGAACAGTACTAATTTACAAGTAACGCAATTTGCCTTAACAGAATAGTATACAAATATACACTGTCTTGAGAGGTTCTGGTTAAAACTATGCGCAAGAGGTGACTCCAATAGTACTATTTGATGAGGGGCGCAGCCCCGAAGTAAATGGTACTTTTGGAGTCACCGAGGCCCATAGTTTTAACCAGTACCTCGAATAGAAGGCATGGTATATTTGTTTTATATCCTGCATCAAAAATTTATTTTATTTACAATTTTTTTTTTTTTTAAATGTCAATTTTTATCTAAAAAGATTTAAAATATTTTGTTTTCATTAAATAAAGATTTGAAGAAAAAAAAAAAAAAATCACATTTTTTTTCCAACTCCCAAATAGTACTCTCATAAAGTACTTTCTAAAAATAGTTAAAATATTTCCGGTCATGTGACGAGCTCTCAACCAATCAAAAGCCAACAAATTTTTGATGCAGGATATAAATATATATATAGAAATTCAAGTTTTAAGTTCAAGTTATTTTGTTTTAACAAATAGTTAAAATACCTTAAATTAATAATTCTCCTGATTTCTAAATTGTTTTAGCTGTATTAATAAGCCTGCAGTGAAACTTCCCAGCCTATTTTTCATTTTAAAAGTCCATGTTTATTATTACTAGTATTATCATTCATCTCGGGCAAAGGCCCAACCATTATTTGGAAGTATGGGGGTGTTTCATTAAGATCCTTAGTCAAACTTAACTCTGAGTTGGACTTAAAAGCTATGGAGTGTTTTGATAGCTGTTGGCCTAGGGTTGATTCACTCAAATCCAACTAAACTAGTACAATACAAGACAGGGACTACATCGTGTTCATGTGTCTAAACCAAAACTGATGAGACTTAAAACTCTTTATTACGTCACAATCTTTCGTGCGCGCTTACAGTGTAGCTGCTCCTAATGAATATTTATACATATTCTTACATCCTCCCTTTTTTGTAAAAGATGTGGAGTGACATCATTATTTAAAGGATATAACCATATTACTGTCATGGATACACAAAACAAATAATTGTGGTTATTGAAATTTCTGTCTTAGTGCAATCTTTAACTTTAACATATCAAAATCATAGAGCATGGAATATATAGTCGAATGTTGAACTAGAACATGACTTTGGTGTACAAATAAGATTAAATAGCTCGAAATACAATCTTTGCTATGTAGTATATCAATTGTAACCAGTTTTATGATTAAAATATCAACAAATTAAATGCTTTTTTTTCTTCTTCATTTTGTTTTGTTTTTCTAACACAACACTAGAGTACTTATTTACAGCTGTCTATTATACATAATGTAAGCATAACACTTTTCAAACTAACAAACTCAATCTGATCAAACTCTCTTGGGAGTGAAATCTTAGCAAAATAAAACATCAGGATATTTTTGACTTAAATTCTTGATCATACTAAAATGTTCCGCAAAACTTTGGCTAGACATCTTTGTCAATCAAATAATTTCAACACATATGTATATTAACTTGCATTAGTTTTCAACAAAATCACAGAATCATCTTTTTTGCTTCAGACATCTTACTTGTCAACATAGTCACCAAATCTTTGGGGTGGCTTGCTTACTCTACCAGATCTGGTCTTTAGGAAAGACTGAGTGTCATTTTTGTCTACCTGTTCTGTTCGAGTATTTTGTGTTCTCTGAGGTTTGTTTTCTTTCACGTGATTTTGAGTACTTTGAGGGTGTTTAGTCATGACAGTGTTAGATGGTAGATACGCCTCTTTCCTTTCAGTCCCATGAGCACGTGGTTGTGGCTGTGGCTTCTCAGAAATTGTTTTCTGTTGATCTTCCTCAGTGTTTGGTGGGGGTTCTTCAGTTCTCTTGAGGTCGACCCTGTTTCTTCTGAGGAGTAATCCAGAGTCGGTCTCCACCTCGTAGGACCTCTCGTCAAGCCGTCTATTTACCACTGCTCTTTGCCAAACTGTGCTTCCTGATTTGTATGGCTTGAGACGTACGATATCTCCTTCTACTAAGGTCGGCAGATCTTTGGCATGTAAGTTGTAGCGTTCCGACTGCTTACGTTGTAGCATTTTAAGCTTTTTCCTGTCTTCACTGAGAACCTCTGCACCTCTTGGTTTCAGGAGACTGGATGAAGTGGGAAGTAGTGTTCTCGTCCTCCGTCCATGAAGCCTTTGCGCTGGGCTACTGTCAACACCTTGGTTTGGGGTATTTCGGAGTTCTAGCATTGCTAGGTAGGCGTCACCCTTAGACTGTGATGTTTTCTTGAGGAGTCTCTTTGCAGCCTTCACTGCAGCTTCTACCTTCCCATTTGCCTGGCTGTGTCTTGGGGAGATTGTGAGATGATCAAACTGCCATCTTTTAGAGAACTTCGCGAAATCTTTGGATGAGTACTGTGGTCCATTGTCACTGATTACAGTGCTCGGGATGCCATATCGAGCGAAGTGGCTCTTCAGTTTCCCGATTACTGCCCGACTGCCAAGGTCATACAGTCTGTCGATTTCCCAGAAGTTGGAAAGGTAGTCGACGGTAACGAGGTAATGTTTCTTGTTAAGTTCGAACAGGTCGGTACCTACTTTCTCCCATGGCCTGTCTGGGATGTCGTGTGGCATGAGGGTTTCCTTCTGGTTCTGCTGCTCGTACATTCTGCAGGCTTCACATGTCTGGATAAACTGCTTGACATCCGCGTTCATCCCAGGCCAATAGATGATTTCTCTGGCCCTTCTAAGGGTCCCTTCAATTCCAAGATGAGAAGTGTGAAGAGTTTCCTTCATTTCCTTGCGGAGGGTTATGGGGATGACTACTCTTTCTCCCCTGAATACTAGTCCATCTTGCACGCTTAGCTCTTCTCGGATATTGAAGTATGACTTAGCCGCTTCGGGTACTTCTGCTTTCTGTTCCGGCCAACCTTTGTGGATGACCTTCTTGACGGTCTGTAGAACCTCATCATTGTTAGTATGAGATTGCAGTTGTTTAACCCTCTCCTCTCCCATACTCAGGGTTTCAACGATGTTCACCTCACCAAATTCAGTGGCTCCTACAGTGGTGGGTAGGTAAGCTCTTGACAGCATATCAGCCAGATGCATGTCCTGTCCCTTTACCCAGGTGATGTCGATGTCGTAGTGCAACATCCTCATTAACATTCCTTGAAGGCGTCTTGGTGCCTTATGGAGAGGTTTCTTGACGATCGCCTGTAAAGGTTTATGGTCACTCTCGACTATGACCCTTTGTCCAAAGGTATATTGGTGGAATCGTTCGAGAGCGAAACATATGGCAAGTGCCTCTTTCTCGATCTGGGCGTACCTCTGTTCAGTTGCTGTTAGAGCTCTGCTAACGTAGGACAACGGTTGTCCCTTCTGGAGAAGTACTGCTCCGAGCCCTGACTTGCTTGCATCACACTGGATGGTCAGTGGTAGGTCTGGTGAGTAATATGCTAGGACAGGTGCCCTGGTCAAAGATTCCTTCACTCTTGACATTGCCCTCTCGTGCTCCGATGTCCATTCCCAATCGGCATCCTTATGTGTTAGTCGTCTCAACGGCTCAAACATATCGGACAGCATAGGTAGAAACCTTGCGAGGTAGTTGACGCTGCCTTGTAGGCGTTGCACTTCCGTAGGGTCAGAAGGGTTGGGCATCTCTAGAATTGCTTTGACCTTTTCAGGATCTACCTTCAGTCCCTTGTCTGTCACTATGTGTCCTAGAAATGGAATGCTTGTAGCCTTCAGCACAGATTTCTTCTGGTTGAGTTTGATACCTTTATCTCGGCTCGGTGTAAAAATGTCAGTGGAAAAAATGTCAGAGGTAAAAATGTCAGAGGTAAAAATGTCAGAGGTAAAAATGTCAGAGGTAAAAATGTCAGAGGTAAAAATGTCAGAGGAAAAAATGTCAGAGTTAAAAATGTCAGAGGTAAAAATGTCAGAGGTAAAAATGTCAGAGGTAAAAATGTCAGAGGTAAAAATGTCAGAGGTAAAAATGTCAGAGGAAGAAATGTCAGAGGTAAAAATGTCAGAGGAAAAAATGTCAGAGGTAAAAATGTCAGAGTTTAAAATGTCAGAGGTAAAAATGTCAGTGGAAAAAATGTCAGAGGTAAAAATGTCAGAGTTTAAAATGTCAGAGGTAAAAATGTTAGAGGTATAAAATAAAAACAAAAGCATGTGACAAGTTTGTTATGTTTACACCCGGGTTATATATCAGGCTTATCGAAAAAGAACAGCGAGGGATATTCTGCAGTCGTTATTTCACCGCTGTCTTATTGTATTAGTCAAGTCTTATTTTGAGCGTATACCAAGGGTCACCTTGGTATACGCTCAAAATAAGACTTGTAGAGGAATCATGTACTTTGAAGAATGCTATCAGTTGTCTGATGACCGCTTGCAAGGCGTGAAACTCGGAGTACACCATCCATGTCCCATTAGTCTGCCTTATTCAATATTTATATACCGGTATATTATGTTTTTGTATAAGCAAATGGTACTGGTACACTGAGCAAACTTCTAAGATTTCTAAAATCGAGAAGTTTGGCCATGTGTTATAGGCTGAGCTGTCGCTCCATGGTGTAATCATTAAAAAAAAAACACAAGGTTATTTAATAAAAGGATCATGCGACAAATAATCATTGTGATTCAAATTGATGCAAGGATTTTTTTGAATAAACAATGCTTTTCACCAGAATCTTCTTTGTAAAAACGACTTTTACAAATCTCAGCCATGCAAATCTGCCACTGTGTTGTAAGATCACTTTCAGATTAGGAGAAGTGTATTCTGTAATGA